GCCGTAGGGCCCAGAGAGTCTGGCCCCAAGCTCAGATCATCCAATTGATATGAGAAAAGCACATATGAGCTTATGTTTCTGTGGGACAGCCGCAGCTATGTTGGTTATGCTGGTTAGCTAACAAGAAACAACAGAAATAATGAAGAGTACTTTGCCACTTGAACAAAAATGAGAGATTAAACCAGGGGTCTTCACCTAATATTATCAAAGGACAATGTTTATGTGTTATCTCCAACAACACCATACACCTGAATGTGTTCCGCCACGCTGCAGAGCTGCTAATGGTTTGCTTCTACTAGCGCAGACACGCTCTGCTTGATCCTTCCCATGGGCGGTTCCAAGCCTAGGTAGGCGGGGCAGTGAATGCTACTTTTCCCTGTGATATAGAAGGAACTAACTTTTTCTGACCCGAAATTTTCCCCATCTATGTCCTAAGGCAGGAAATGGGGGCTGAAGAAAATGTTCACGTTTATCCTGTATATTCAATTCAGTTCAATTCAAAGATACTTTATTAATCCCAGAGGGAAATTAAAGTTTCAGTACACACAATTCTGAGATCAGACATACAAACATAGGCAAAGACACATGACAAGAATTGGTGACTGTGGTCATTCGCAACCCGAGTCGCGCTACCTTAATAGAGATCAGAGGGTTTAAGCCTCACAGGCTCAAGGGCACCAGATTCAGATAAGAAATTGTTTTGGGGCCAGAGATAATTTCCTCCCTATCTTAAAGTTCTGTTGGTCCTCAACCCCTCTGAATCCAATAATGGCGTAAATTGATCTATCCCAATCCGTGCTGATTCGTCCAATCGCTCCTTGATCGCATCCACCTTTTGTGCCAACGCATGAATCTCAGCCAAAGTTCCAAGCTTACGACTCATCTCGACAATTATATATGTCTGTGCATTCGCAGCGCGGTGTAATCCATCCCTGAGCTCCGGGAAAGAGCCAATATTCCTCGACAGCTCGTTAATTTTCAGGTAAGCCAGGTAGCCTCCTAGGCCAAAAAGCAGGAAACCTGACACCAACACCACACCATATGTATATGCAGCTCAGAGTGACTGGTCGTATTTAAAAAAGAAAAAAGTATTAAACGGTTTCTCTGTGAATAAGTCTTTTAAAACCAACAGCTGCCTATCTTACATGGCTAAGGTCAGGGGTGTCCAAACCTTTCAAGACAAGGGTGATAATCATCATGTTAATTGTCCACATAGGCAACAAATGTGATGTTTTTTTCCACTTAAAAAGTACAAAAACTATTTTAAGATGACTTTCTCAAACTTGGCCAAAATGTTAATAAAAATTGGAACATAAAAATATTAGAAAGTATCAGTCTACATCAACAGCCTACTGGTGATGAGTCTAGAAATGCACATGGGGGCCAAACAAAATCAGCTGCAAATGGCCCCTGGACCACACGGGACAATTCTCGTTTAGGTTAAGAAAAAAAAAACAGCTTTGGAAAGCCGCAAGAAGCCATCTGGAATTTACCCCTGAACAGCAGGGATGTTTTCCTGCTTGAGTTTCTGTCATTTCTGTGTATTTCTATCTCTCTTATGTTTTTATTTTCTATTTTTATTGCGCTTGCGAACTGCCTTGTGATTTGTCTTGAAAGGCACTATTGCAAATAAATCTTTCTTTCTTCTTTCTTGCCACTTTGCACAAAACCACCCCTTCAAATGTTCCAGGGCATTTGGCATGAATAAAACAGCACTAACCTAGTAACAGTGACATTATTGTAGCTGAAAGAAATACCCAACACATACTCAAGGACCAGTAGACTGAGCAAAATCTTCTCACTACGTAATTTTCCATTGCAGTCATTCTAGTATTTTAGTGGCAAATTTCTCATGCATTCCTTCAAATAATGCAAAAATTTTCCATTTAAAATCTCCACAATATATTTATAGCCATGCTACGTTAGCACGTTGTTAAGAGGCATGAAAAAAATAAACGTTTTAAGCTAATTTGTTTTCCAAATTAAGGAATGCCGCTTTAAATAGTACATGCAGCATTTACACCAATGCTGGAAAAGGGGGCAGCTGTTTGAGGTAAGATGGCCGCCACGTTGCTACGTCACACTCCATTGGCAAACAGTGCAGGTGAGCCATGTAGCTTTTATATATCTACGGTTGGATGGACCGGTAGCACCCGTGCACAGCAGCCTTACCTTTGTCTGTGCACCCAGGGGCAGCTGTGGCTACAATATAGCTCATCACCAGGGTGTGAAATGTGTTTGTGAATGGATGAATGACTGATTGTGTTATAACACACTTTGGAGGGTTCTATGACTCTAGAAGGTGCTATATCAAATGCAAGCCATTTACCATCATCAGCAAAGAATCACTTCAGATACCACGACATCCTGGATAGACTTGATTTGCGAACCCCAAATAAGAATACTTACCGACTGGTGTGGGATATACTGACCGGTGGACACGGGGAAGGGCTGGTTAACGTTATAAACAGGAAGTTTGTTGTCGAGTGGTGTGTTACGGTGTTGTTAAAACGTCTGAATAATAAAAATTTATGGCAAAAAACGTCAAAGAGCAAATTTCCTCCAAGAAATATCACAGGATTGTTGCAGAAATCTGGAACTCTTCTCATGTTAACATTCTTGAGTCAGAAGGAATAAACGGAATTCAAAAGGGGTGGTGGAAAAAAGCTAATACAATTAAAGTACCTCGAACAAATGGAATCACACTGGAAATACAACAAGAACATATTTTCACATAACTATTGCAGTTTGTTTTCATTTACGTTTATGTACCATTTGACCCAACAACATACATAAAGTCACGCGATTACAAGTGAAAAGTTGCACGATTTCATGTCTAAATGTAGCCAACAACAGTCCCAGCCTGGTGAGGTTCTGGGCATACTAATACCTAACACTGATTTTTATAGTATTTGTACTGTTCTGTACATTTTAGAGAGAATATTTTCCTTTTGGAGCTCCAACTATATAAAATGGACTAAAGAATTTTCATGTCCAATCACACATTTTAACCAAGATTTAATCATTTTTCCATAAACCTCTTGACTCCTCTTACAGGCGTAGGCTCTTAACTGTGGAGATTCACAGTTTATCTGCTTGAATCAGAAGAAAGCAACAGTAACTCATAAAAAGTCTAAATTTAACAAATGTCTCTGGGTTATGAATGCGGGGAAAATCCATTTTCTTTGATGAAAAGCAAAGAAACATCAAAAACAGTCTTTAAAAAAAGAAGACTTAAGGCAAAACATTTAGGGAAACAAATGAATGCCGCAGCTGTCTGCCATCGAAACAAGAAATGTTTGGTCTGTTTTTATTTTACATGCAAGTCCTCTTCCCGTACACTCCCTCTTGTCTCTGCAGACCTGCCTGCCGACCCCTGTTCCCATGGCAATTAGCTAAAAACCTCAGCCAATTAGCGCGACGCAACAAACTCCTCGAAGCGCTCGAAGACGAGTCACTACCTTCCAAGACGCTCTCAATGGAAGGGAGAGATTTGTGTGATGGGTTAATGGTAGGATAGTAAAAGTCCTTCAGCGGGGACGTTGTTGGGACGGCGTTGGGTCATTACTGTGCCGTGACCCGATTCCTGGTTTTACAGAGATGGGTGTCTATCTACATATTCCTCGGAATGGGATGAGAAGCACATAAATAGAACCAGACAACAGATTGCCAGCAACTTAAGAGTGTTGCCTTTATGGACACATCCAAGGAAACTTCAGGGATTCAAACCCTCATTCGTGAGGCCTAAAGGACCACACCACCCTGGCGGGGTAGAAAACAGATCGAGTGTCCTATTCTCTGTGAAGGTGACGCGTCCCCTCAAGAATGTGGTTCTCTTCCTCTCGTCGTTCACTTCAGTTTCCCCCTTGGGTTGCCTACTTCACTCACACAGCCGCGGAGCTGTCGCTTGAGGAATCTGGAAAACACCGGCAGGGAATGAGAGGAATTTTCTGCTTTTCGATTTCCCCTTAACCACCCCCTCGTCCCCTTGCTCTCTTCGCTCTGGATGCCTTTCAGCACAGCCGGGCTCTTGAGTTTTCTCTTGTTTCTGAATGCCGTCCAACAATAACAACCTCTCATAAACAAAAGAGGCTTGTTGATTGCAGGGGGGTGTGGGGGGAGTTTAAAGGGAGAGTGGCCATCGTTGGCCTGCAGCTCTACTGGCAGCAGTTCCGTCCAACGGCCCTTAAATCCCTAAAGTACAGGCTACACGGAGGACTGTAAGAGATTTAAGGTCATTCTTTTTCAAACTGCACCATCTCTGAAGAACCATAAACACATGCTTTAGTTCGTTCTTAATCCAACTTTCCTCCAAAGAGGACTTTGATGGACAAAACTCCTAAAGGGGGAAGCTGGTCAATGTCAGGAAACCACAAAAGTACAGGGGAAAAAATAGCAGTTTTGGAATTCTCTGCTTTTACAGCACCAGTGGGCTCATAAAGGGAGTCTGGATCGAATGGAGTGGGTTTCTGAACAAGCTGACCGCAGATCTGCCGTGTCCCTTCAGCCTAAAGGCAAAGCAGAGGCCAGTTAACCCAGCTGGGCACCAATTAAACCCTGCGTCTGTGACAGGGAAATGATGATCTAAAGCGACGCGTCTTGGAATAACTCTGGTCCGTTTTAAGAAGAGGATTCAACAGATTACTGGAGATGGTTGTTCCTATTTTGGCTGAAGAGATTTTACAGCTCTGACATGAACTAATACTAAATAAAACACCAACCATGTTTTGAAAAGAATGGTGTAAACAAACTTCTGCTGTTTGTTATAATTTCCTGCAGGCTGCATACCAGAGTGAAACTTGGAAATACAAAGTTTCCCCCCAAAAATAAAACCCTACAAGGTTCAGTCCTTTTTTAGGTCCAACACAGAAGGGACAGGGCGCCCCCTGTTGGACAACACATTAGCACCATTATGAATTTTACTGGACAGCCTTTATTTTAATGTTTTCTTTTTTACATCCGGCCAAATATCACATTTAAAAAACAACACCAGAGTTGCATTCTTGAACCATTAAACTTTATTTACAATGAAAAAATGCAATAAAATTCACTGAGACGCACACTAAGCACTCATCAGAGACGTTCTTCATTAACATGTCCCAAGGCCCAGCTCACACCAGCCATCACTTATCTGCTGGTTTGAATGGATCAGACCACACCTTCAGACCTTTGGACCAAACAAACAAAAACAGTGGTAGCATGGATGCAAACATATTTTTACACGTCATTAAATAGTTTATTTATAGCCGTTTACATGATTATTTCAGTGTGTACTCACTTGTTTTCAATTAGATCAATGGAAAAATCACATCGAACAAACCTGACTTATGTTCATGTAAGAAAAGTGCTTGCAGGAGTGTTTTGAGCAGATAAGAGACTCTAATCTGATATAATCTACATTTATCAAATGTTTAAACTGCATATACAAATCTATAAAATCTGTCTAGAGTCCCTGCATCATATAAACCAGAGGGAAGCCAACAAAACAGTCTTGCTGCTCTTCGCTTAACAACAATCTGCACACTTATCTGTGCAAAAGCTTAGATGTTAATGAGTGTAACTTTACTTTTTGTATAAAGAAGAAAATGAAAAACCCAGAATCTTCTGCATGTTTTCCATTTTACAAAAATGAACATTTCTGGTTTGGGGCTTCAAAAACCAAACACGGACATTTTCTTAGGTAAATGTCTGTTTGACTGTAGATTATTGGTTGAAGCGTTTTAGCTGACACCATCTATTGAGAGGGTGCTCGCTGCGGAACCACAAAGGCGGAGCTGCACCAGAGGGTGGAGCTGCACTAGAGTCAGCTCCGCCCATTCCTGCTCCTAATTGGTGCAGGCAGACTCGCCTCTGCTGAGACGGTCCTTGTTGCAGCAAAAGCACAAAGGTGGAGCTGCCGCTCCCGGCCGTTCCAAGTGACTCCAACCGGCTTAATGGCTGTAAGTAACCTAACTTAAAATAAACACAATTAAAGTTATTTATTTAAACGTTTATTTTGCAATGTGCGGTAAATTTGGCTCAAATTGCACTCGGTACTTATGCTAACATAGCTAGTAGGGTAGACTTCAAGGTTATCGAAAACGAATTTAAACTGTAACGCGCGTACACAAAACTAACTAACTGTATTTATTGAGATAATGGGCTTAGTTTTTGTTTCATAAAGTATGTCATAAAGTCTTAAGAATTATTTCTATGTCACTCCCTGCCTACGGCGCGTTGTCACCAGAAACAGAGATGCGATCATCTGTTGTGCCTTTTTGGTTAGCACGCTTTGATAAAATCAACAGAATGGAAAAGTTTGATAAAAGTCCATCGACTCACTCCCTTTCAAGGCAAAGAAAAGACGTCTTAGCTATTGGAACGATGATTAAACACGCAGTAGTCTTCAGAAACAACTTTATAACCGGTGAGTTATGGCTAACAAACAAGCTAACATTACAACTGTAAACTGCAAATCATAGCAATGGGAGCCAGCCGAAGCGGTGTACGCTGGTTTAGGTTGTGTGTGTATATGCTAAATTGATGAAAAATAATCCCTCTATTTTTTCTGGTTGTTGGGTGGTTTTCACTCGGTAGTACTGCATTATTCCAACACGTCAGAGAAGTCAGTGTGCTGATTGTGTAGCTGCGGTTACACATCATGTAAGCAAAGGTTGAGAGAAAGCGTCACAGGATTATTTGGGATTATTTATGACTAAGAGTATGTGCAAAATAACCTAAAGCATTGTGGTAGTCATGGTAGCTTGGCTTTAGTTTTATTGTGTTGCCAGTCAGTGTTTTTTTTAATAGAATTGTAGCACCTGCATTAATTGTTTGGCGTTTTAACGCACAGGTGCTGTTATTGTGTTTACTGAATTTGAACGTTACTCTGCCATACATCTTTTGTACTTGCCTGATTACAGTTCTTAAAAAGCATAATCATTTTCTGAGTTTTTATACTATTTTTTAGTCTTGTCCCTGTACACATCTTGTTTAAAGAAGACAGAAACAATCAAAACTAAACTAAAACTAAACTACCTATCGAATGGTATAAAGTAATTAAAACTAAAATTGAATTTAAAATTTTTATTCAAAACTAAATAAAATTTTAATCTAATGACAAATTTAAAAGTATTTTATAACCCTGGTAGCCTTTCCCAGTGCACTTGTTTAACACAAAATAAATTAAAACCAAATTAAATGTGCTCAGTGTGTATTCTGATATTTAATTTTTTTTCTTCATATTTTAGAATGTTCTTGTGTGTGTATGACTTTCACAGATGCATCAAACAATACTGAGGAGAGGGCAGGATCCTCTTCAGTCTATCAAGCGATGCAGCGATTGTTGCAGCAACATTCACTGCACTTTCTGTAAAATGACATATGCTGATTTTTACAAGGTTAAATACCATGTACAGAATCATGTGAGCATTGCTGTAAAACATGAAGGTATGTATGCAGTGTTTTAAATTTCTCCAGTAATTTATTTACTATTCCCTACTTTGTATGAGTGAGTTTCCAATATGAATGTTTAGTCATTTATTTTATGTCAGTTTCTTCTTTTTTATTATCAATAAATAACATAAGGCAAGGCTAGTAGTTTTATATAAGTACTTGATCTGGTATCGGGTGAAGTCTGTTGTGCTACTTTGCATGAAGCATCACCGTACACAAGACAGTTAATCAATCTGCTCTCTTTTCACTTTAGATTATGTCATCTTAAAATGCAGCCTGGGCTGTAGGGAAATGGCACATTATCATTGTTGTTACTGTCCGTCAACGATTCTGCGGAGAATGGCATTTGTGAAACATCTTGCTATATGTAAGGAGAAATTATCACGTCCTCCACCACCGGCACAGACAGCACCTCCTCCATCAGCACAGACAAGACCTCCACAGACAGGACCACCTCCTCCATCGGCACAGACAAGACCTCCACAGACAGGACCTCCTCCTCCACAGACAGGACCTCCTCCTCCATCGGCACAGACAGCACCTTCTCCATCGGCACAGACAGCACCTTCTCCATCAGCACAGACAAGACCTCCACAGACAGGACCTCCTCCTCCATCGGCACAGACAAGACCTCCACAGACAGGACCTCCTCCTCCATCGGCACAGACAAGACCTCCACAGACAGGACCTCCTCCTCCATCGGCACAGACAAGACCTCCACAGACAGGACCTCCTCCTCCATCGGCACAGACAAGACCTCCACAGACAGGACCTCCTCCTCCACAGACAGGACCTCCTCCTCCACAGACAGGACCTCCTCCTCCATCGGCACAGACAGCACCTTCTCCATCGGCACAGACAGCACCTTCTCCATCGGCACAGACAGCACCTTCTCCATCAGCACAGACAAGACCTCCACAGACAGGACCTCCTCCTCCATCGGCACAGACAAGACCTCCACAGACAGGACCTCCTCCTCCACAGACAGGACCTCCTCCTCCACAGACAGCACCTCCTCCTCCATCGGCACAGACAGCACCTCCTCCATCGGCACAGACAAGACCTCCTCCATCGGCACAGACAAGACCTCCTCCATCGGCACAGACAGGACCTCCTCCTCCACAGACAGGACCTCCTCCTCCATCGGCACAGACAGCACCTCCTCCATCAGCACAGACAAGACCTCCACAGACAGGACCTCCTCCTCCACAGACAGGACCTCCTCCTCCATCGGCACAGACAGCACCTCCTCCTTCACCACAGGCAGGACCGTTGTCATCCTCATCATCCTCACGACGATTAAAGGTCCGCCAGCCGGTGAAAGTGACATGCAGCCATTGCGGCATCACATTAAATAAAAAGAACTTGCAGGTGCATATTAATAGAAAGCACAGGCCAAAGGGACAACAGATATCAGAGACACGACACCTGTCATGTCAGTGTATTGATGCTACAAATGGCATCTTTGCAGTCAACAAATCATTCTTCAAACCATGCTCACCAATACATGTACAGAAAAAAACCTGGGGTACAAGCCAAAAACAAATTTGTGAATTGGATGATTGCAATACTAATTTGGACTTTGCAGTGAGGAGTGGAATTCTGCCATATGAATGCATCCACTTAAAATCATTGACATTTTCTCCCAGATCAGACACCCCCCCCACAATTCTGGAAGAAGAGGTGCTGTCAGACATAGTGTCTGCCAAAATATTTGGGGATGTGAGAAAACAGAGCTGCTTGAACCTCCAGAGCAAATCTGCTGCTGCAGGGGTGCCTCTCTCAGTTGATGTCACAGTTGGAGGGCCGTCCTCAAAAAAGTTCATATCAGTTTTTGAACCCAAAGTGTCATGCTACAGCAGACTGGAAAGGGTAATGGTGGCCTTCGACATGAAAAAGAGGTCATGGCATTGCCCATGTGCCAAACCCAGACTGTTGTGCTTGCACAAAAGTGTGGCTAAATGGCATCTCTTTCAGACAGACAGAGAAATGTTCAAGACCAAAGAGAGTGCCACTGACAGTGGTGATGCTGCTGAGACAAATGAAGAACTGCAGGATGATGCAATACCAGTCGGAGGACAACAATATCCTCCTGGTGACAATGATCTCATGAGAATGGTAAAATACATAATGAAAAACAAAGCTCTACCGGAAAATCTCCCCCAGGATTTGGTCACTGGCTCCCAAACATTAGAGGACATTTCAAAGGACTTGATTCCCAAAGAAACCGTATGTGCAGAATGTGGAGGCCAACTTAATGAGCCAGTGCTCATTACAGCACGTGCCAAGCTGGTGGCATACACTGGTGTTGTACATGGTGAGACTAACTTAATCTATATTAACTAAACTACAAGGTTTAATACAAAGTAAACCTAAAGTCTGTGTTGTACACATGCGCAATGAATTACTTGTAGATAACATATAAGACAATATAAAATAAGTCAGTCTCTAACACCTACTTTGTGTCTACCACAATTCTTTCTGATTTCTTCTTCAGGCTTTTATACATACCGCAGGGAATGTCCCGACTGTGGGCTGATTTATCGATACCAGGAGTGGAGTGATGGGATTCATAATTTCAATGACCATATACTCCTCACTCTTCATCTATGTATTTATCTCCGTAACTCAATTCAGGTAAGCAAAACATGCAAGGAATGCCCTTGTTATTGATTAGAACGTGTACCTAACTCTATCTTTTACCGTTCTAGACACACCATGCTGTAAGCCGAGCAATTGAGGTCTTGGAGAAAACTGAAAATCAGACCTTCCCCAGTAAGGCCACAATGCTCCATGCATACATGCATTTTGAAGCCCTGACAGCTCACAGCTACTCATACTCCTGTTATAAGTGTGGATACTATCCACCTGTGGTTATCATGGACCTGCACAGGAAGGGTGTCTTCAATATGCCTAGTGAGTGTCAGAAAAAACTGCATGTAAAGAAACTATTTTAATGCTTGATTAATAGAATGCTTGGCTTTACAGCAAGTGAGATGGAGACTCCACCAGCAGACTTTGATGGCAGAGTCAACATCAAAGATTTCTATGACTCTGTGACGTCTCAGATCATTTGTACTGGCTTATTGACAAGTGAGTTGATAACATTTCCAGTAAGAAGAATAATATCAATTCTTGAATACAGTTTAAGACATTCTGTTAAAGAATGACTTTCCATCATTATAGCACCCTAGCTTTCTGATTACATAATGTACATTTTACTACTTATATTTATTGATGTGTGTTTACCCTTACTCCGTGACATGTTTTCTCTTCATTCTACATAGTTGTCAGAAATTAATCTTCTGGAATGATTTATCCAGACAATTTTTGTGTGATTAAGTTACTCTGTTAAACACCAGGTGGTCGTAAGAACCCCTTTCTTGTTTTGCCATCATATCACAACTGGGCACCTTGGATTGGACCAAAATGCAGAGATGGGGACATTGTTTTCAACACTGAGCATGAGAAGTTGCATGCACCAAGGCAGGCTGCTGAGATGTCAGATCTCCAAATGACAGAGGAGAGACTCCAAGATGCCCTTATTAACCTCCGGGTAATTGCTATTTTGTAAATGTTAATTCATCATTGGGACTCAATGACAATGTTATTTATTTTGTTTGTTTTTCCTATGTTGAAATAATAGGTGGACATGGTGCGTAAGCTATGCAAACAATGTGGCATAGATTCTAAAGGTTCTAAGATGGACCTTATTCTCAGACTCCGGGAGGAGATGAAGAACAGGTCGTCATATGATAAGATTTTTGAGAAGGTCTGGGGAGCATCAGGTAGGCTACATCTTTCACTGAAGAGCAGCATGTTATTAGTGTGCAGTGATAAAATCATGCTTCATACAATCTTTATTGTGAGAGGTTTTCAAAAAGTAAACATATGTACATAGTAGCTCAACAGTTGTCACAGGACTTACATCATGGACCACACTGAGTAACACATTACAGACTTATCCATGGCAGTTATTTTGTGTAGCAAAGTTTTGCAATCTCATTAACTCAACTTTTTCATTTCCATAGGTGGCTGGGCAGTTGTTATGTGCCCCTGTGCTGTTGTCTATTCAATAAAATTTAATTTAAGAGCAGAAAGCCCCAGAGACTATGCAGATATTTTGCTCAGCTGGAAGCACTTTCCCAACATTGCCATTTATGATTTTGCGAGGGGACTGGCCACACACACCAACTTGAGGGAACCTGAAAACTTGCCTTTCAGCCCACATGAGGGACGGCTGGCTGAGGCATCCAATGATAATGTAAAGTCAGCTGCTGAAGGAAAGCTGAAGGTCCATTTACCATGGCTAAAAAGTAAAAAAAAGGATGCAGACACAAACTGCCACCCACTCACAGGATCATCGGAACATTATACCTTGTATGATGTTTTCCATGAGAAAAACACAAAGGATCCTAGAGACATCCTTCGAAGAATAGCACTTGTTCCTGAACTGGCTGGCTGGGTCAACAGCCAGTGTGCTGAGCAATTATTTGCAGACATGAGGAAGAACAATTACTTTCTGAATACACTCACACCGTCTGAACACATCTTCATGATGCGCAACATATTGCACCACTACAACACACAATGCAACAACAAGACTGAAGAAAGCATCAAGAAAGTGGTGAGCGAGGATGTCCTGCAGTTGGATCACAATGGGCAGATAGTAATGGGTAATATTATTTACATTCATTAATTCATATTTTTCACTAATTAAAACAAATAACTATCTTTATCATTCTAATATTTTCTTTTACTAAACCCACAGCTGCACAGCCACCCACAGAAGCAGATGTAACAACACAACCCTGTAAGTACAATACTGAGAAGAAATTTCAAAAATCATGCCAACAGTATGTAACAACTTTATGTTTGAAAGGATAGCATGATAAATTCATGGAATTACGTGTTTGTCTCATAAGCATCATAATAAGCTTTTCACAGAGAAGGTTATATGATGACTGTTCAAATGTTTTATTGCCACACTGGCATAAATGTACTCTTCAGACTGTCCAAGCATGTCTGACCTGCTTCCAGGTCTAACACCTAACCAGACATCTGACCAACTGAACAGGAGGATATGGGCTGTTAACCCTCTCCCAGCACAACAGAAATTGGTGATGTATAATTTTGTAGTAATATACATAAATATGTAGTCTACTTTTGTAAATTTTTATTATTTTTTTTTCTGTTGTGCTATTTGTGTGTGTAAATGCTTTTTTTCCAGTTGGCGTATGTGTTGGATAAAAACAAAGATCCGTATGAGGACATACTTTCTTATAGCCCAGGACGGACATTAACAAGATGTGATTTCTGGTCTTTGGCCTTTGAAGAGGTTGAAGCACAGGTAATTGTACACTTCCATGCATGTGGTGTACATGAATACATCAGCTTTTAGTAATGACCTTACTTTTCTTTTAACAGATTGCTGATCAGTGCTTTCAAGTCATAACTGCTCTTGGAGCTTCACAGGTCAGCTTGTTTTTGTTCTGTGTGGTATTATTAAGCCTTTGGCAGGGAGGCCTTGTGGCCTTAAGAAGAAATTTCTCACTTCTCATGGAGTTTGTCACAGGCTTTACACAATACATTTTTCCTACATTTTCTAAAAAAAACTGTAGCACTACTAGTTTCTGTCTCTTCAGGGCAAAGATGTCCACACTTTCAGCATCTATTTGGTGGTTACCTGGTTACCACCATTTCACAATGATCCCCTTGCAGCTTTACCTGTAAGTTTCTTTTTAAATTATTGTTTGTGTGTACATATATATATACAGTACTTCTGTGTGTATATGTCATTATTCCAATACACAGGACAATATTGGAACAAAGGACATCATTTTACTCCCTTCGTGGGAGTCCGGGCACTGGATTTTGTGTGTAAGTTAGCAAATTTTCCAAGTGAGATACTTTATTAACATGTATGTGGATGTGTAGCTGTTGATGTGATGTGTATTTGTTTTTCTGTTACATTTGCATTTTTCAACCCATCACTATATTTGTCTCTTTTAGCATGCCATACACACATTCATTTTCTTTTGTAAACTTGTAGTTTTTTGTTTTTTTTGCGTTGTGGTCTCTCAGTTGTTGCATGTCTTAATATCATCTGCATTTCCAGGTACTCAAGCCAAAGTCAAAAGAGATTTTATTTCTAGACTCCATGAACTCTGTAGACTTTGGACTTGGGAGCTACAGAGACATATTCAGGTTTTGTTCTCATTACAAAGCGTTCCGGAGTTTCCAGTCAAATTCTTCAAGAAGTTTTCTACTTCTGCATGGTTTGTTCCAGTTTGAACATGAAAAACAAACTCCAGGCGTTGGATATATCAGTATGTTTTGCTTCTCATATGTCAATATGATGAAGCTACAGTCTACACATCCTCTATTTGAGAACTGTTTTGGTATAACTTAGGTTCTGATTTGGATCCATATAAATAAATGGGTTTGCCTTGGTGGACACTCTTTGAAGTGCCAGTTATTGATAAAGTCACCGCTAAGGAATATAAAACTCCTGGAGTCTGTCACTCATGATGACGGGTATGGCAGTTCCATTCAAGGCCATATGTTCCTCTTTCAGCCAGTTGGGTATGGTTATTTATAAATAATGGTCATCTTATTAGACCAATTCATTTTAAAACCACTGGCTGAAACACAACATGAGGTGGGGTAGTTCTGTTTTAAACCCCAACTCTTTATTTTTTTGACTTGTATGTTTACTTAGTTTTTGGCTTTAGGGCCGTACTGTATGCATTTATATTGTATTGTTGTTTTATGACAGAGTCTTGGCTAATCACATTTCACCAGGCCATTGGAACACTGTAACATTGAGTCAGTTGAAGGTACGGGTTTTTAACATCTTTGCACACAAACCTTTATTATCTGCTGTGGAGTGTGATGAAAGAATAACTATAGATAATATATGTGGTCTTATTATTGACAGGGTGCACCACTGCAGTGGGGAGGGAATGACTGTGGGGCATACATGATGATGGTCAGTGGTCTTACAATTTAAATGCCATGGTCTTTGTGTGTTCTAAATGCAGATTTGTGGATGTACCATTGGAGTTTGAATTTTGTTTTTCAGTATGCCCTCTATGTGACCCTGGACATGCCTTTTGATTTTGCTCAAGTGAGTTTGTATAGTTATTTTTAAAAAATGCACTGCAAGACCTATTTCAATTATATTAAGAACTTTTCACTTTATATATATTATCAGTCAGATATGCCCGTAATCAGGAGTTGGTGGTGCCAACAATTACTGAAGACATTTCCTCTGGCTGGGTATGAATCCTTTGCAGGAAATTTCCAAGATGTGAGTCCCCAGTACATGGGGAGTTTGCAAAAAAGATTTTTCCCATGATATATTACAATCTTTTCTTTAAAGTCAATTCAGCCCACCAGAGCCGGAAATGATGGAGGTCACCCAAGGAGAGCCCACCCCAACAGAGCCAGACACTATGGAGGTCACCCAAAGAAAAGAAATACAAGTGTGTAGCATCTAGTGAATGTTTATTGTTTTTAAATTGGTTGTTGTATGTATTTGTATTGAATGAAGAGAACATGACTAATTTCATTGTTATTGGAATTCATTATCATTTTGCATATAGGACGTGCCTGTGATGAGAGGCATTATGGTGGCCTGGAACTGGGTGAAGGAAAACCAAAAACACTTTGCTGGAAAGGTTATCCCACCAGACATCATCAGTATGGATGAAGACGACGCAGCAATGGCCATCACAATGCAGGAACTGTTCATGACTACACATGACATGGATAGGGATGAGGATGAAATTCGGTCTCCCTTCATTTTCACCTTCTCAAACAAAGATGATATGGAGTTTTTCATGCATGAAATAAGAGACAAACGAGATATCCGTGTGTCTTGCATGTGCAACACAGATTAGTACTTGGTGTTTTGCTGTTTGGTTTAGTTTACCAATCTGTCATCAATAACATGTAAAATAAAATCATCAACATCTCAGTCATTAATTCATCTTCAATGTCTGTTATCATCACTAGGGCTATGGGGGAGCTGGATTATGTCTCAGATTTAGAAAGGCAGGCTACACGCACATATGCATATATATATATATACACACATATATATATACACATTATATATATATATAGCTACTGGATTATGTCTTAATATATATATAACTGCTGCGTGCCCTTTTAGAAGCTGTTTTTTTCAATTGCCATGTAACATTAAAATTCTGATGAAGTCCAGTTGCAAAGATGCAAAACAATTTAAATTGTAATTTTTACAAATAAAATCTTGCTAACCTCACAACCTCAGCAAAGACAAAATTGTGGGGGCCCCTGCTGTAACTGGCTGACTAGCATAATTTTCAGTCAGTACACATGGACCTAAACTGTTAGAATAAAAAGTGAGAAAACATATTTAAATTGAGATAAAAACAGGGAAAAACACTTTGCAAAGATATAAAAGATAAGTGCCCTGGCCGGGATCCAAACCTGCGTAAGTAGAGCCTGACCGTAACTTGGTTATCATTCTGGCTAACATGGGTCAGGTTCATATACACTAAATACAAAATTATTTTAAGTGTAATAATGGGATGCAAGTGTTTCAATTCTTCACTAAATAAAAAAATTATTTTAGAATTTTTTGTTTGCTGTTTTAATCAGCGTTTCAGATTAAAATATGCTGAATAAACCAGCAGAAATGGCATTTTTATGGTAGATGTGAAGAGTGGAATGAGGGTTTTTTAACACCACAGGAATGTTCTAACTTGTGTCTTCAAACTGATGTTTTCCAGGTCAAAAGAAAGCAACAACAGTTCTGCTTTTTAGAAGCTAGATAGGCAGAGATATACCAAATTTAAGCTGCTATAAATTATATATATATATATATATATATATATATATATATATATATATATATATACTTCTATGTAGTTAGTAAAACAAAGCAATAAAATATGAAACAAATGAATGAATCAACTGATCCCTTCATTTATATTAAAAAAAAGTCAAGGGTAAATTGAGGAATTATGTTTAAGCATGAAAACAGAAGGTGAAACAGGCTGTGGGACTAGTGAAATAGCAGCTCCACCTTAAAATTACATGAACGGGCGGGGAAGACTCTGCATGAATGGGCGGGGATGACTCTGGTGCAGCTCCACCCTCTGGTGCAGCTCCGCCTTTGTGGTTCTGCAGCGAGCACCATTTGTCTATGATGACCATCTTTAAAGAGCAAGTCACATCAAAATCAACCTTTTTTAGATGATAACTAGCATAAATGAGTGTCTAATAGTGTTGTAGACATATGTAGCCATTCTTTTTGCATTTTGATGCATTTTCTTTGAAAACTCTAAATTCTGTCTAAAGACGTCAGTCTAGCGCCCTCTTCAGCTCAAAAGTATAGACCATGTTTATTTCGAGTCGGTTTTAGCCAATGGCTAACGAGAACGATGCTACGTAGCTAAGAAAAGTACTAAGTAGCAGCTCTGTGGCTGTAGGTTATAAAAGCACTGCGGTCTCAACCAGCCTTGTAGCAGTCGGGGCTCGGATTAGCCGCAAGTGAGTTGTGCTGTAGTTAGCATTAGCATTGAGTCAGAGTCCAAGCAAAGCTTCTAGTATAATTATTTAGTTTGCGTAGCTTGGCTGTTAGATTGTAGTTTAGTGTTTTTTACATGTGACTCTTTCACCAACTTGATGGGAGTTTGAACCAGCTTATGCTGGTTGGAAGTGTCTTTCACAAATTAGTCCAAGCCGTTCCAGTAATTAGTCAGATCCCGCCGACTGCTGCTTCCTCAAAACGGAAATTTTGGGCCCAATCTGAAGAGTAAGCTAAACAATTACTTTTAACAGCTTCTAAAGATCGTCCCCTACCTGTAATTTCCCAATTGCTGTTGTGTTCTTGGGCAAGACACTTAACCTTGCTTGCTGGTGGTGGTCAGTGGCACCTGTATTCAGCAGCCTCACCTCTGTCAGTGCGCCCCAGGGCAGCTGTGCTACAATGTAGCTCATCCTCATCATTGTGTGTCAATGGGTGAATGATGCACTGTAGTGTAAAGCGCTTTGGAGTCCTCTGACTCTAAAAAGCGCTACACAAGTGCAGGTCATTTATCATTATCGTAGCATTGTGTGGACCAGCTAAATGCAGGTTAAACTAAAAATTGGCCCACTTCAACATATAAAGTACACACACACACACACACACACACACACACACACACACACACACACACACACACACACACACACATACACACTTACAGAGGGTACAGAAGGTATTCAGACCCCCATCAGTTTGTAAGTCTTTATTATAGGGCTGCAACAAACGATTATTTGGATAATCGATTAATCGGATGGGGTCTCGACACGATTAATCGATTAATCGGATTACATGGGGAAATTTTTAAAAACTGCTAGGGAAACGTTATTTCTCTCCTTCCTTCACTTTATTTAACACAACATTATTAGAAAACAGTTCAATAGCAGAAAAACAACATGCCATCACCTAAATTGTCTTATAAGGTGTATAGACAGAGACCCTAAGCTACATCTATCTGTGACCTAAAATGCTTGGTCCAATTAAACAGCTTAAGGGCAATTCTCATCTGTTTTGTTTGATCTCATCTGTAGAAATTTATTATAACTGGGGATGTCAAACAACTAATTTTTAAATGTAATCATACATAGGCTGTGAATTAATCAAAATTGATCACTATTTCCAAAAATGACTGAAAAAATAAGTTGTCCCACACTCCATGGAAACTTTCAGAGAATCTACAAATAGTGGCTTTCGAATGGTTTTGTTACTTTCTGCAAGTTTAGAAAAGCAGCAGATGAGACAGCATGTCTGATAATTTAGTTTTTCATCTGATAATATTAGAGCATGTCAGTAATGCCCGAGGGGCTTTTATAAACACTGTATAACTAACACTACTGGAGAGGGTATGAATTACACAGAGGCTTCTGGGGAGCCCAGTTGGGGGGGGGGGGGGGGGGTCATTTTGCCTTGGCCCCCAAAATGTCTTGAAACGGCCCTGGGTGTGTGACTGAGTGTTGAAGGTGACCTGAATAATATCAAATTTATAAATATTACATGTGTGTAACTTATTGTTTTATAGGTAAAAACGTGTAGTGGAGATAAATCTACCTACATTTTACTTTTCAACACTTTCTTTTGTTTTGTTGTTTTTATTGAACTATTTTCCTGTCCTGTCTGTCTCTCTTCTTCCTACATCTCCTCTTAATTCTCCAGAAAAACTGCTGCCTGGATTCTTACTTGTTCACCTCATCAGTTACTTTTGAGCAGATCAAAGATCTCCTGACCACAAAGCGCAGAGCGCGTTTTCGATGCTGCGTGAGGTGAAATCACCGCAGCACAGGTGATGAGCTCCGCAGTAGCGAGCTTCAGGCACAAATAAGACAGAAAATAGAGAACATGTGCAGACATGAACGATCGTGTGCTAATTATAGTTTTTTGGTTGCGCCACTTTGAGAATGGACCGTGCGCTGGAAGCAGCTGCCTGGATCGCTGCGCAGCAATGCGATGCGCCGCTCTCTGCTCAAAAGAGTCCAAAAATGATATAATATAGAAAACTTTTTCCGGCTCCCCGGATGTGTAGGATATACAGCTCCCCCATAATTCGATCCCTGCTCCTGGATGAAAAGCCGGACATTTTCATCAATACAAGAACCCGCAGTCCGGACGCGCCGGACAGAGAGTGAAAAGTGGACACGGCCGGGGAAAACGGAACGTACGGTCACCATAGTCCTCATAAAGCGGGAAATTATAGATACAGTATTGTGCTCGTGCCCTGGGCCCTTTAGAGTTCGTGGGCCCTGGGCAATTGCCCAGTTAATCCGGCCTTGGGCGGAACCGGTTCGCAGCAGTGCGAGTCCCCCCGCTCATCTAATAAGCGTCGCGCTCACGACTTTAGACTCTTTTTTTACGAGTTTAGGGCATGTCTAGCCTGTGTAATAATCCGGGACTTGGATGAATCACTTTTGAAAAGTTTTTAATTTACCCGGACACAGAGTTCTCTCCTTCCTCGCTGATGATCCCGACATGCTTGCGTTTAAGACGCTGCATCATCCCGTGCATCCCAGTCTGACCTAAACGTTGCAGGTAACGCATGTCTTCGCCTGATTTAACTGAAAATGCTCCCAAACTTAAAAAGCTTTTACTTTTTTGACTCTCGCTGCTTCTGTCATGTTCCTCTTCCAAACAACTGCCGGCTCTCTCTCGCGCTGATCTGTCTGCGCGCAACGGTGGGCGGGAAGGGGGGGCGCTTTTGGAAGAGTTGTGCGACACAACGAATCGATGACGCAATTCGTTGCCAACGCTTTTAGTAATCGATTTTCATCGAATTCATCGATTCGTTGTTGCAGCCCTACTTTATTATATCAATGAACTGCTCTGGAGTGGATCTTATCTCTCTGAGCGCTCCTTCTCTGTGGCCGTCTCCAAGTTTAGGTCCTCCACCACCTCTCTTACCCATGGTGTCCCACAAGGTTCTGTGCTGGGGCCTCTGCTCTTCCTCTTCTATCTGCTTCCTCTTCAGCACATCCTGAGCTCCTTCAAAGGAATCTCCTACCATCTTTATGCAGATGACATCCAGCTGTACATCTCCTTTAAGCCCCATGAGATGTCTAAGCTGCAGATGTTACACACCTGCTTAGACTCTATCAAAACCTGGATGGCTGGGAGCTTTCTACAGCTGAATGAAGATAAGACTGATATCCTCATCTGTGCCCCAGACAAGCTGGTTCCCAAAGTCAGAGACTCTCTTGGTCAGCTTGCTTCCCACACCAAACCTTCCGTCAGGAATCTTGGCGTGACCTTTGACCCAGCTCTCACCCTGGATTCTCATGTCAGTTCTCTTGTTCGCTCTTCCTTCTTCCATCTCAGGAACATTGCTAAGCTGAGTCCCATTCTGTTCCACTCTGAACTTGAGATCGTTACCCCCACCTTCATCTCCTCACGCTTAGACTACTGTAACTCTCTTTTCACGTGTCTGAGCAGAACCTCCCTGAACCGTCTACAGGTGGTTCAGAATGCCTGTGCTCGGCTTCTGACCAAGTCCTCCAAACACACCCACATCACCCCGCTTCTCCTCCAGCTTCACTGGCTGCCAGTCAACTTCAGGGTTCATTTCAAGATCCTGGTTCTGGTCTACAGGGCCTTACATGAACAAGCACCATCTTACATTGGTGATCTTCTTAGTCCCTACACCCCCAGCAGGTCCCTGAGGCCAGTGATCAAAGCCTACTGGTTGTGCAGCACCAGGCTAAAGACCAAAGGTGACAGATCATCTGCTGCTGTGGCCCCCCAGACTCTGGAACTCTCTCCCCCTGAGCCTGAGATCAGTGGACTCAGTGGTCTCCTTCAAAAAGCAGCTGAAGAATCAGCTGTTCAAAGTGGCTTTTGCATGACCTTCTTCACCACTCTCTCTTTATTCTGCTCTCCCCACCTATTCCACCTTCCTCAGGATCCACTGATTTCCCTCTTTCCTATTCACTCTCTCTCTTTACATTTTCTAATCACAATTGTCTATTATTTTTTTGCTAATTTTAAATATATTTTAACAATTTTCTAAATTATTTTTGATATTTTTACATTTTTTGTTTATGTGAAGCACCTCATGATTTTATCTTCAGAGGCACTATAGAAATTATATTTTCTTCTTCTTCCTCTTATATTGCAGTTTTTGTGGAAAACAATACATTCATTTTTTTCTCATTGTACACACAGAACCCCTTATTGACAGAAAAACAGAGTTTATGAATGCAGTTTTATGAAAGACTAACTGAAGGGCAGAACGAGCTCTACAAAAAAGAAGTTGAACTTCTTACAGTCCTAGAAAATGCCTTGGACCCACGGATAAGTGAGATAAATAAAAATAATAATTAAAATTTAAGATAATGAGCTTTAAGGGTACATTTTAATAAATTGATTTTGTTAGTTGAAAAAAGCTGAAAGTGATTTAAGGGTTGGAATTTAATTAAATGGGAGATAAATCTACTTTTTGTATCAAAACACTGAATATACAGATAAATAACAGAAAGTAATGGCGGCAACAGCTGGGTAGAGTCTGAGGGAATGGAGTGACCCAGATAACAGCCGATCACTATTGCTGATTTTTGTTTTATTATTAGATCTTACCAACTGGCTGCACATCTGCCTGGTTAATTCCTGCCCGGTTTACCTTTTGGACTTCTCCTGGCAAAATCACAGAAACACAGAACACAAGATTAATATTAAAACATATTTGTTGGTTAAGATTTTTATTTTATTTTTGCTGGTTTGATTTCTTCACTACGGGATTAAAAACTGTCATAGAAAGTCAGTGGTAAACAAGCTAAAGTTAGCTAGCGTTTCAATCGTGTCAAACAACATTTAGCATTGCTGGATTTCAAGTTAAAACACAATATGAAGCAGTTGAGTGCTCGTGTTGGAAAATAAGCACTTACTGTAATCGTCTTTGTGTGTTAGAGGATAAAAAAATATGGGGTAAAACGCAGCGGCCACCGCCGTAACGAAGCCTCCGAATATTAACACTATTTTAGCGTTTTTGGACATTTTCTTACATCAGAGGCGGTCTCTCACCTCCAAGCGTGTTTACTTGCGTTTACAGCGACAGCTTCCGGCCATTACGTCATGATATGTTCTACATAGAAATGTGTCCGCTGAAAATGTTCCCAAACTAGACATCAAAATATTTTCCGTCTTGCTAACTTTTACACATTTTAGCTTCAAAGAACAAAATTGTCTTTGACAATATGAGATAAGTTCATTTATTTGATATGTGTGAGCTTATTATCCAACTGAACACTGAGATTTTTTTGTTTTATTTCAGTTTGCTACTTGCTAAAATTTGTTTAAAAATAACTTATGAAGATTTTTCCTTATAGCAGTTTTTTTTAAATTATTTTGAACTATATAAGTGTGAAATAGCATGGGCATGATTTAAACACAACAGGGGGCGCATTTGAATGTAACACCAGTGTTGCACGTCACTCGCGTCACTTCTTTTGGGCTACCAGGGCTTCCGTATGAAATGCCAGTCATTCTAAACAACATGATAAGGAAGTGAAGCTGGTGGATTTTGTCGAACGAATTTTCTCATTTTCAGGATGGAAAAAAATATGTTTTTTACAGTTTTTGTGTGTTTTTGTTTATTTTGTTCACATGAATCGACAGCTGAGGATCAGCCCATTCAAACGTTTGTCATTCCTCACAGTCACATGGATGTTGGCTGGGTTTACACCATTCAGGTAGTGGAGGGTGATCTTGAATTCCAAATGAATATGTGTGTTTTCCCCTCTAAACGTGCGTGCGTGCGTGCGTGTGTGTATGTGTGTGTGTGTGTGTGTGTGTGTGTGTGTGTGTGTGTTTTGCAGGAGAGCATGCATGCCTATGCAGCTAACGTGTACACCAGTGTGACCCAGGAGCTGTCAAAGTACAAAGATCGAAGGTTCATCGCTGTGGAACAGGAGTTCTTTCGCCTGTGGTGGGACACTGTCGCCTCAGACTCCCTAAAGAAACAAGTAAGAACTCAGTTCTTTAGTCAGATGATTGTGTCTGCATTCATCAATGAAAATATCAGCTGAAATTTTCATTCTTGGGGGCTTAGTTACCAGGAAAGACACACATTATGATCCCATTTTAGTTTTCTTGAATCAAAAACACCAAAATAAGACAATCTTTATTTATGGGTACATACATTTGCCCCTGTTTGCTTTAACTAGTGGGGGCGTGAGCCGTGGGGAGGTGCAGTTTAGTGGTACTACATTGTTTGTTTTTAAATAATTCATGCACTTTTATCCTCTGCGGAGCACTTATCTTTATGTTTGGGTTACTTTTCAACACTTTCAGTTCCAGTAAAGGTTAGGACAGAACTATGTGGTGGTCGCGCCCTTTTTTCATTCCAAGAATGTAAGGAAGTTGGAAATTCAACATTCCATGTTGTGACTGGTTGCATCATCCATATGCAACAGGAATGCTGCTCTGATGACCAGCAGCTCTTGTCGTTTGCCTCTAAAACTGTTAAAAAAGAAGCCGGAGTTCTGTATCTCAGGTATTTTTATCCAAACATCTCGTAGACATTTTAAATAAACCTTAAACTTATGTCTGAATGAAAACCGGGATGCAACACATCTAGTTCTTTATCCCGCGAAAGCTCAGCTGACCTTTGTGTGTCGATGTCCTTCCAGGTTCGACAGCTTGTGACAGAAGGTCGACTTGAGTTCATCATCGGAGGCCAAGTGATGCATGACGAGGCCGTGACGGATCTGGACGATCAGATCTTGCAGATGACGGGTAAATCCAGGACCTCTTTCTAACCTTCAGGTTTGTTTCTGAGACTTAAGGTCACCGTTGTTTCAGAGGGCCACGGGTTCCTGTACCAGACGTTCGGGGTTCGCCCTCGTTTCTCCTGGCATGTGGATCCATTTGGAGCCTCCGCCACCACGCCGGTCCTGTTCGCTCTGGCCGGGTTTGACGCACACCTCATCTCCCGCATCGACTACGACCTGAAACACAGCATGCAGAAAAACAAGGTCGGATCGGAACACTCTTAGTCGCGGGGATGGTGAAAACAGACTAATGGTTCACTTAGTTTCTTGTTTTTAAATAGAAGCTACAGTTTGTGTGGCGAGGTTCGCCCTCTTTAAAAGCCAAGCAGGAGATCTTCACCCACACCATGGACCAGTTCAGCTACTGCACGCCGTCACACCTGCCATTCTCCAGCAGGTGAACCATGTTTACGTTCATACTGCCCTCATTTTTCAACATTTTGAAATTTAACCAACAATTTGTGCATTATTAATAGTTTATTCTTGAAACTAAACACAAATCAAATCAAATCAAAGATACTTTATTAATCCCAGAGGGAAAATAGAGTTTCAGTACACACAATTCAGAGATCAGACATACATGGGCAAGACACATGACAAGAATTGGTGACTGTGGTCATTCGCAACCCTGAGTCACGCTACCTTAACAGAGATAAGAGGGTTACATGAGGGTTGGTTCAGGTGGAGGGAAAAAAAAGGAACTTCAGAGTTACTCTCCCACCAGGAGGGCAGCTTTGCTCTGCAAAAAACACCTCATACATATATGCAACAGACTTCAGACAACACAACATAAGTGTCCACTAGGTGGGGTGGTGGGTTGGGACTATGCCCACTTCAGTTCCTGCAGCCACGATAAGCAGCGCATGTCACCTCAGTGTGGATAGGGGGAGGAGCATTGAGGGTTGGAGGGTTGCAGTGACCCTGGAACATTTCAGCAGCCTTCCCGCAGTCCCACCCATGCTGGGATAGGAGACAGAGTTGAGTTGCCATAGCGACGGCACATTCCACATATCTTCTGAGGGGGGAGTTTTCGTTGGAGTCTTGCAGGCTCAAGGACGCCAGATTCTGATTAGAAACTGTTTTGGGGCCAGACAGAGATAAAATCCTCTCTGTCTTACAGTTTGTTGGTCCTCAACCTCTCAAAATCCAATAATGGACATTAATCTATCCCAATCTGTGCTGATTCATCCACTCTCTCCTTGATGGCATCCATCTTTTGTGCCAAAGCATGAATCGCAGCCAAAGATCCAAGCTTACGACTCATCTCGACAATTGTTTGAGTCTGTGAATTCACAGCGCGGTGCAAACCATCTCTGAGCTGTGGGATCAGGCCAATATTCCTCGACAGCTCGTTAATTTTCCGGTAAGCCAGGTAGCCTCCAAGGCCAATGAGCAGGAAACCTGAGACCAACACCACGAATATCCACACGTCTTCTGAGTCCTCCACAGACAGCTGAGATAAACAAATCAAGTTCCGCTGTTTCCACGAGTCCATGATGTGTCCAACTGGGTCTGTCCCGGCGGGGCATCCAGGAGCCCCTTTTCCCGTTCTCACTGTTGAAAAAATGTGATCAATCGCGTTGAGTGACCAACTGATGAGATCCATTTTAGTGTATTTCAGTTTCCAGTGTCCAGAAAAATGCAGAAGCAGCCGTGCACCAGCACACACAGAAAGACAAAGGCCTTGAGGATAAGATAGGGAGGAGAGGAGGAAAAAAGCGTCTGCACCCTCCAAGAGCCGGAAGAAGAAGTCACTAGGGAGGCACAAGATATCGGCATCAACATCAGTATCAGCTGATGTTAGTCTGTTTTTAACCATACTGGTGGTATTAAAGAGGTCCTTCACTGAGAAACCACATTTTACTTAGTACTTTTGAAAATTACCACACACCCTGAGTTTAACATGAAAATATTCTCCTACACCTATCTACTGCATTAGCTTCTGATAGAAAATAGACGCTGAAACTCTAGGATTAAAAATCCTGACAGATCTACGTCACACTGTCACGTGACATTCACATCTTGACTCACAACGGGGAAGGCTGCTGTTGGTTTAGCGTCTAGAAAACCGCAGAGAACGTCTCGGCTAGTAGAAGCTAACCGTTAGCATTAGTAACTCCACCACACAGCAGAACTCCTCCAGGCTTGTGTTATTTGTGGAGATAAAACATCAACGCTGTCTGTTTTGTTTTGCTGTAATTGTCTGGTCATGTGACCATATTAAGAACCATCTCAGAAGCATTGATGTGTGCACATAAAAAATATATGTATGCATTTGTAATTTCTATGTTTTCGTGTGTGTGTGTGAATATATATATATAATTTTAAAAATCTGTAAGCATCAGTTATCGGCCATAACAGGAATATTAATATCAAATATGAATATTGGTCCAAATTTTCATATCGGTGCATTCCTAAACGATTTATTTACTAAATATGTGTCAAAATAACTGGTAATAAAGGCAATTTGTTAACATTTGTTATTTAAACAAATCATGTAATTAATTTTACTTAAAATTTTTTTTACGTATTCAGATGTAAGTGAAGCATTTCTGAGCTAACACATCTTAAAAATGAGCTCTTCGTCCTCATCAGTTCTGGTTTCTATTGGAACGGCATCGCCTTGTTCCCAGACCCTCCTATAGATGGTGTCTACCCCAACATGAGCCTCCCCGTCACCAAGGAGACGGTACAACTCTACGCCAAGACCATGGTGGAGAACATCAAGCAGAGGGCTGCTTGGTTCAGGACGAGCCACGTTCTCTGGCCCTGGGTCAGTAAATAACTTGGCTAATGTGGGCTTTTATTTTGAAAAGTTTCTCACTAGGTGTGCTTTTTTTTATTTTTAAGGGGTGTGACAAACAGTTCTATAACTCTTCAGTGCAGTTCAGAAACATGGATCCTCTAATGAAGTACATCAACCAGAACAGCAAAGAGTTCGGTGTGACGGTTCAGTACGCCACGCTGAGCGAGTACTTCCAATCCGTCCATCAGACAAATCTCTCCTGGGATGTTCGTGGGGCTGAAGACTTTCTTCCTTATTCGTCTGGTGAGAAATGTGTGTCTCAATAAAAAAAAGCCCAGGAAAGAACTCGTTCTAATCAGTAAGAACTAATGTGTAATGTTTCCTAGAGCCGTACCAGGCATGGACGGGGTTTTACGCCTCCAGGAACGTTCTGAAAGGAGTGGCGAGGCGGGCCAGTTCCCAGCTGTACGCAGCAGAGTCTCTTTTCACCCGTTACAGAGTCAGCTTCCCAGATGGGCCTGTAGCGAAGGACTGGGCCCTGGAAAAACTCCGAGCTCTGCGCTGGGCCGTCTCAGAGGTCATTTCTTAGGCCCTGTCCACACGTAGCCGGGGATCTGCCAAAACGTAGATATTTTTCTACGTTTTGGCCTGTCATGCACACGAAAACGGAGTTTTTTCACACGGAAACGGATCTTTTTAAAAACTCCGGCCAAAGTGAAGATCTGCGTTTTCTCCGTTTTGGGTGTCTGCGTGTGGACGGACTTAACCGGAGTTTTAAGGTCCGCAACGTCACTTTCCGCGACAAAAAAATGCTGACATCACGTGTGTGACCTGTGTTCACACTAGCCGACAGCATGGAAGCCCTCAGAGCTGCGCTCTTAACAACGTATTTATCGGGGTACGTGTGGACAGAGTTATTTATTAAAACGAGGTGGTGTGGATGCAAGTTTTTGGAGGGGCGGATATTCGTTTTAAAAAAAAACCCAGCTACGTGTGGACTAGGCCTTAGTCCCCGTCTGCATCTGAATGAAAAACAGTTTGGTAAATTTTCACATAAAACTTCCAGTGTTTTTTCTCAGGTCCAGCATCACGATGGCATCACTGGTACGGAGTCTCCTAAAGTGGCTGAAATGTACACACAGCACCTCGTCCAGGCCATGATGGGAGTGGACGAGCTTTTAGCCGCGCTCTTTCTGCTGCCGCATAACCTCGCCGCCTCCAACATCCGGGACACGAACTTCCACAGAAAAGGTGCAAATCGGCTTGTTAAAGGGACGGCCTCCATGAACACAGGAGGGCCTCTAAATGCATGTTGCTCTATTAGGTAGAATCCAGTTTTCTTCTCCAGAATCCCTCGCTATCTCACACCTGTCTTCACTGTCTGTTCATCTAAAGCGGTGCCTGGAGGTTAAACTGGACTCGGGCCTCTCTGTGTTACGTCAAGTAAATGCCACTGTCAAATCGTGCTTCATTCAGCTAGGTCACGTTGCACAGCTTAAACAGATTTCTCGTGCTTTCATCACATCCAGGCTGGACTCACTTCTCTTGGGTCCGCTCTAGAACGTCTGCAGAAAGTCCAAAATGCAGCAGCTCATTTCTAACCAGCACAAATACATGTTCGCATTTGACCCCTATATATGTTAAACTCATACAGGATTCCTGTTTTTCACTGAATGACGTTAAAGATCCTCCCTTTTGTTTTTTAAACTCTTCGTGATCAGGCTCCTGCGTATTTGTCTGAACCAATCATCCACTGTAACCCATCGTATCAGTGGAACAACTAATTAAGGTTCATCAGATCTTTATTTTAATAGGCATGTTTCCACTGGTGGGAATTCAGGATACCGTATTTTCCGGAGTATAAGTCGCACCAGCCATGAAATGTATAATGAAGAAGAAAGTAACATATATAAGTCGCATTTTGGGGGGAAATTTTATTATTTTTCTTACAAAATCTGAGACCAAGCATTTCACATGGCAAGACAAGTACCGGTAACAATAACAGAAGAAACAACCGGCTGTTGCATCAGCGGTATGCGCAGCAGTGCGCCACGGTCTCCAGCAGAGGATGGCGGTGTTTCAAACCCTCCCAGCGGGACAGGGGAGCTCATTCCTGGGCCGGAGCCGGCCAGCACCAGCGCGGTATAGCCTACATCATTTGGTATATAAGTCGCAGAACCAGCCAGACTATGAAAAAAAGTGTGACTTATAGTCCGGAAAATACGGTAGTTTATGAGAGGAGGGAATTGCCCCTCCCTGGGCTGCCTCCTTACCGTGGTGGAGGGGTTGCAGGGGTGGACATTAACTTCAAAACCAACCGGCCACGCGGAAAATCTACCGGCCCCACAGGTCAGCTGCCAAAACGAGTCAAAATAACAACTGAACTGTTTTAAATATAATAAACCTTTATTTTGTACACATTCATGAACATAATAAACTTTTCTGTATATATTTACATATTTACAACCAGCACTGTGTCAGTCTCTGGCACCATTGTGATGCAGGCTGAATATTTGGCTAGTGGTGGACTAGTATGTTACTCCACCTCAAAGTTCTTGTCAAGCTCGTCCTCTTATTTCTTGCTCATCGTGGAGAGCAAGCGGCGCTGACCCACGCACATGAAATCTTCCTCTGGCTCTGCGTCGTCCATCTCAGCAGCAGTGGGAGTCTTTCCATCCATGAAATCAAGACGCCTTCGCCGTTGGACATCATGAAACCATACGTTTATGGCTGGCTTTTCCAGTTTATCTTGCTGTGCTTTCGTCGTCGCCACGAGGGCCTTTGCAGCTGGCGACTCTCCTACCATTGCTGTATTTGCAGTCTTTTCTGCCTTCATGTGGCTCGCTGTTTTTTCGTGGTCTTTAATGTATTCTAGTTTGAATTTGTTTGTTCCCTCAACAAAACTCGATTTTGTCGTTGCATACTTCCGGCATACAACGCAATACATCACCTCCTCCGCTTTGCTGTACTCGAGCCATTCTTGGCGCCTCCCGTCTTCTTTAAACCGCCAAGAATCATTCCACCTACGCACACGCTTCTCTGCTTCATACCTTTTCGAACTGTCTCGCTTCTCCTCACCAGTTTTAAACCGTTTTGCCGGAGGTTTCATCAGGGAGTCCCATCCCTGTGGTGGCGCCATCTTCCTGCGTGTTTGTGTGTTTCTAGTGTGGTTTCACTCCGTCTTTTACAGTGAACTCGCCTCTAGTCACATGAACCTGTGCAGTGCGCAGTGGAATCGAAAACGGCGGCTTCCTACAGGGCGCGGCCATGATGTATCCCAACACTACTACGCACGGCCACAGGGGGAGGTGAAAGCCGGTGTGTAAATGACAAACAAAGCTTGGGCGCCACCCGGGTGGTAAGTCGTCAATTATTTACCGCCCGACAAGAAAATTTAAAGCCATTGGCGCCCGGGCGCTTTAAAGGTCCACCTCTGGGTTGGATTGTCGCAGTGATCCTCGGAGCAAAGTTGTCTGAGGCTTTATTCTGGTAGGGTCACCCATGGAAAACAGGTCTTAGGTGAGGGGTCAGACAAAGAGCAGCCCAAAGACCCCTTATGATGACCGGACATGGCCGCAGGGTCGTCGGTGCCTGTCGTGGTGGCAATCCCTGAACCCGCTGGTGGACCAACGCTGTTTACAGTGGGGACGGTGTGCTGCTGACCTCGAGTCAATATGTTGTGGATCGGTGGGCAGAATACTTCGAAGACCTCCTCAGTCCCACTGGCACGTCTTCCAGTGAGGAAGCAGAGTCTGGGGACTTTGGGTTGGACTCTGCAATCTCTGGTGCTGAGGTCACTGAGGTGGTCAAACAGCTCCTTGGTGGCAAGGTTCCGGGGGTGGACAAGATCCTCCCAGAGTTCCTTAAAGCTCTGGATGTTGTGGGTTACCTACCCCTGACCAGGTGCTCCATTAGCTCCTGAAATTGGCCTGGTAAACTACATGTTTGGCCAACCTGGTGAAGTGGAGACGCATTGTGGAAAGTTCTGGAAAAATTACTCTGAAATAATTAATAAAGTATTTTTGAATTTGAATTTGAATTGAATTGAAATGAGCTGATCCGGGATTTCCTGTTTCCAGATGCTGATCATAGTTTGGAGCAGCATGTCATCATTTACAACCCGTTAGCCTGGAATGTCACCACCATGGTTAACGTTACCATAACATTCCCAAGTGCGATCGTCTACGATGATGACGGACAGCCGGTTCCTGCACAAGTATTCCTCATCCTGTTTGCTGTGACTGACCTTGTCTTGAATGTCATCTAATTAGACGTTCTTGGTTGCTAGATCCAGCGTTCAGCACAGTCCAACATATCCTACGATCTTTTCATCCTTGTGGAACTGGGCGGCCTTCAGCACAAGAAATACTTGATCAAGGTCTCTGGGACACCATGCTCCAAGAAATCCAAATGTTTGAACACGTATGAAGCAAAAGCAGCAGTGTTTGAGAGGCGTAGTGTGAAGGACTGGAGGAAAACAGGACGGCGACTTCTACCAGTCCTGAGTGAAAGTTACAAACTGATGTTTGACCGGGACACCAATCTCCTGCACAGCATCACCTACCTGTATGTTCTGTAAAGTTTCATTCAGCCTAAGCTTTTGCCTTTACTTTTTTATCACGTGTGAGCTAGAAAACTAAACATTTTGTCTTGTTTTGTCGTTGGTAGTCAGGAAAATAGACGAGTTAGAATGACACAGGATTTCTGGGAATACAATGCAAATGGAGACGTAAAAGCTGGTCCCATCTCTGATAACTACATCTTCAGCGCCAACGGCTCGGCTGTTCGGGCCTACAAGGCTGTGGCGATGGAGATTATCCCAGGAAAGATTGTTACTGAGATCAGACAGTACTTCTACAGGTGGGTACAACAATCCATCCAGTTTTCTTATCTGTTTTGTTGTAACACCTTCAGACTTACTCTAGACTTACGCGTTTCATCTTGTAGAGAGGACGGTGATGAAGACTACGCTTTCTCAATCACTACCCGTGTCCCTGAATGTTCTGGGACCGTACTGCAGTGCCACAGGTTGGAGCAGAGCTACTCACTAGGTCCCCTTCATATCAACACCGAGGTAGTACTCAGGACCAGCTCGTCCCTTAAGAACAACAGAACTCTGTACTCGGATGACAATGGCTACCAGATGATGAAAAGGATATACAAGAAATTCCCCAATAACACTTTAGCAAGGGTAGGTGGATGAATTCGGCATAATTGCTGGTAGAAGTAAGAATGTTATTTATGAAAAGCATCGTTTTGTAGAATTACTTCCCCATGGTTCGGACAGCCTACATTGAAGATGATCTCAGTCGTTTGGTGCTCCTCAGTGACAGAGCTCACGGTGTGTCCAGTCAAGCCAACGGACAACTAGAGGTACAAAAAAAAACTCTCCTTCTTAGAGCTTCTCGTCACAGGAACATTTCACCATGGGATTCTTCCCTCAGGTTATGCTCCATCGACGGCTCTGGAATAATTTAGCCTGGAATCTTGGCTACAACCTGACTTTAAACGACAGCTCGGTGGTGACACCAACCCTTTGGATGGTGCTGGGCTCTGTAGGCGCCACCTCCAAACTGCATCCGCGGGGAGCAGTAGAGCTGCAGCACAGACCTGTCATCATGCCAATAGACCAGCCTCGTAAGTGTAAACAGTTACCCAAATATCTGTAGTCCCTTACACAGTTTAAATCACAATCTTTTCTCAGTCTGGGTGGTATGTTGGGATTCCCCAGGGTTGTGTTCTTGGCCTAATACTGTTTTACTTTTCTACATAATTCTATTTAGTTTAATACTAAATTTGTGTGATTAAATTTAGACAATGTTTTCATTACGGCAACACCACTCAGACAAACTACATTGTGCTCCATTTTAATCTCATCTAATCACTAAAATCAATATTTCGATACAAACAAAACGGCTCAAAACAATTCATATGTGAATTTTTGTATGTAGTTGTATAATTACACCCCTGGACTCTTGTCTATGTATTGAATTCTTCTGCATACTTTGTTCAATAAAGTTATCTAAAATAGCGTCCCATTTCATAAAAATACCCCAAAACTTATTTTTCCCATGTGAGTAATGTTGAGTGAGTAAATGTTCAGACAAAGGTCACCAACCTTTGGGAAGCTGAGAGCTACTTCATGGGTTTTGAGCATCGACATATATACTGGAGAAATCATGCCCATAGGCTCGAATTATAAGTTTTTGATTTAAAATGGGAGGTTCCCACCCCCGCCTTTTTGACCTTGTCACACGCATCGCCCAGACAATCCAAGAATGGGAAAAGAGGTGGAGCTGAGGGTGGGGCTGTTACAGTTGGAACAAATGAACCAATGTAGCTACTAGCTTACTTAGTTAGCCGAAGAAGCTAAGAAGGACTCCGGGGACTGTGGTAGCCCACCCGCGACTGGCTCCGTGCGAGGCACAGAACACTGCGATCATAACACCGTGGCCTTTTACATCGGCTCATACTCTACAATCGGAGATCAGCAGGACATTAGTTACATGCTAACCCAAAGCTAACGGGTTTTTTTCTTCCATGTTTAGCAAGAAAACCGCGGTGGAGTGACTCCAAAGTGAAGGCACCTCCGGCCTGCTTAGTAACAAAGTGATAACTAGGTAAGCAGACTGAGGACATCAGGCCTCACTGGTCCCGACGGGAGCGTCAACTTGACTCCCAGCTCTGTGTCGACACACAGCCGGGTACTGTTGACACTTTCAGAGTCGGGACCGTCGACAACGCCGTTGTCACAACGGCGATGTGACCAGCATGACTAGAGCCTTCTCATTTGAGCCGGTCCGCTTGTCCCGGCTGCCCCGGGAAATGGGAACAGCCAGCCGCCTGCTCTAGCAACTCGTCTCGGACAGGAGACAGAAGACCGACATCCGCTCAAGTTTTTTATCCCGCCAGCAGCCCCACTAACATGTTTGACCAAGCAGTTAAAAGACACAGCATTTCCCTGTTCAACCATCAAAAACAAGTACAGAAATATAATTTTACTGATAAAAAGAAGCAGGAACTGCTTGGACGATCTGTTAGTGCAGTTAGTAGCCACAGCCTGCCCTCTTTGTCCAAATAATTCCACCATGATTAACATCCAACCACGAACACACAGCGGGCGCAACCAAAGTTCAGAGTCAAAATGGCCAAACACCTATTAACTTGATGTCGAGGCTGAGGCCTTCAATTGAGCTAGCTCCCATCGCTAGCTCTGGCTCTGACGTGGGTCTGATGATCATTAATTATTCAGAATTTTAAGCATTTAATTCCACCTAAACAGAAGAGTTACAAAAAAGTTCACCCCCCTCAGAGTTGTCATGAATCTAAACTATATCAGTTAAACCTAAAATGGGTTTTTGAACCAGGCTGTAAACATGATCATTTCTGCTGTGAAATTGGCATTTTTAACATGGGAGTCAATGAGGATTTGCTCACTTCTGGTGCCAGCCCCTAGTGGATGAGGGTGGAACTGCAACTTTAGCCACTTCCCAAGATTGTGGGGGCCTGGTTTTGATCCATATGTAGGGCTACCAGGTTGATACCAAGTGACCTTTGAATAGATCAGAGTTAAACTAAAGTTCACGTTTAATAGACAAACACTTTTATGGTTCCCGAGGACACCATGGTGCCTGCGGGCACCAGGTTGGTGACCCCTGACATAGAGCACTTTATTTATTTGTGGTGGGCAGTCTGGGAATATTTATTGGGCCAAATATCAGTTACAAAGATAAGGAAGTATTTATTTATAAAAGTCGTTCATGTTTCCTACAAAAAAGAATTACAATTGAACAGTGAGCACACACTGGCCATTTCTCAATACTCAGGGACGCTGCGTTCTTGTGTACTAGACAAGTATGTTCTTGGCAAGGACACTAGAAAGTCCATTCTACCTAGTGCGGGTTAGGTGGAGTAGATATGTAAACATGACATGATTTGATTTTCTTGCCAATGGAAGCACAACTATCACGGTGACCAAAACTGTTCTTAACTTAAATGAATAAACACCCAAACTAATTCTGTTATCACAAACACTTTCTTCCAGCTGTAAAACATAAAAATATATCCACATGAGGACTTCACCACTATTTAAATCAAGCCCCCACAATGCGGGACAGAAATTGAGGCCAATAAAGTTAAATAAATTGCAGTTCCACCCTCATCCGCTGGGGGCTGGTGTCAGAAGCGAGCAAATCCTCATTGACTCCCATGTTAAAAATACCAATTTCACAGCAGAAATAAACATGTTTACAGCCTGGTACCAAAACATGTTTTTTGTTTAAATGATCTAGTTTATACTCAAGACAACTCTGAGGGGGGTGATTTTTTTTCTCACTCTTCTGTTTAAGTGTATTAAAAGCCTAAAATTCTGTATAATTAATGAGCATCAGACCCACGTGACCACAGAGCTAGCTCCAAGGAAAGGCCTCAGTAGAGCCTCGGTCTGGCTTGGAAACTGCTCTGGGATTTTGAGTCTCTGTGTTTGTGTATTCTTTTTTGGATATTATTTGTGTAATTGTTGGACAAAATGACTTGCTGTGGCATTAATTGCACTAATAGAGCGTCCAAGGAGTCTCCACTTCATTTTTTTCGGTAAGTAAAATTATATTCATGTATTTTAGGTCACTGCCGAGCTGAGCTTACATTTTAACATGTACTGTTTAACCATGAAATTTAAATGTAATAGGGTAAAACCCAGTGCATTTAACATAATGCTGCACTTTAGGAAATGGGTTGAAATATAACATGTTGGTGGAGCTGGGTTCCGACTATCGGCTTGTGGAGCTCTCGGGAGACCGATGTTTTCCACCCGTTCTCCCCTCCCCGCAGCTCGGCGCATCTCTGTCTGATCGCGGCTTCTGACTGCTGCGCGGGCTGCCGGCTTGTGGAGCTCTGGGATGGAAACCTTTCCACCCGGTTCTCCCCAGCGGCAGCTCTGCGCATCTCAGATTGCAGCTGCATTTGTCTGCTGTGCGGCTGCCGGCTTGTGGAGCTCTCGGGAGACCTCTGTGTTCTACCCGGTTTTACCCAGCTGTCAGCCCGGCGTATCTCTGACTGAGAAGCTCTGGTGTTGTGCACAGTTAACTCCGGTTGTAGCTAGGTTGCTACCTCCGTTAGCTTAGCTCCCACCTCCGCGTTAGCTTTGGGTTAGCTTCAGATTAGCTTGTAGCTAGTTCGACCGGGTGTCGTCAGTTGATCCCAGCCTTACAGCCACACCCTCAGCTCCTCCTCTCTTCCCTTTTGTGGGATTGTTTGGGCTTGACGGAACCTGTGACACGGTCAAAATGGCGGTGGTGGCCACCTCCCATTTCCCCTCAAAAAACGTGATATTGTGGTCTATGGAAATGAATTGTCCAGTATATATGTCGATGATTTATACCCATTTTTTTCCTGTTTGTAAATTCTGCTACATCTGTTGAGGTTTTACACTTGCTCTTGTACTTTTATCGGTATTATTTAATTAATTACCTCATTAATAACTCTGAGATAAACATTGACAGTAGAAACAAAGAAAAAAAACAGAGTTTAATGTCTTCTGTAGGGCTGCCCCAGAAGGAGAAGGAGCTCACACTGAGTACCCCGGTGCCTCCGGTTGTTCTCCCTCCCAACCTCCACCTGCTCAGCCTCAGCATCCCAGGCTGGAACTACAGCTCCCATCATAGCATCCACCTCAGCCACATTCACTCAAGTGAGCCATGAGGAGCACCTTGACATCTTCTGAGTTTCAAAAGTTTAAAATCCATGTTTTTGCTCTTTTACTCGTTTATTTTTCATATAGGTACAGACTTGGTCTCTGAGCCAGACTTTGATCGGGTTTTGCTGAGAATCATGCATCTGTTTGAGGAGGAGGAAGACCCGGAGCTATCAAAGCCAGTCACTATAAACTTAAAGGTGCAGATTAAACAAATACTCATTTCAAGTACTTTTTAATACATATGTAAGCTCTTAAAAACTTTTTTCACCTGTTCCTTATGTGAGCAGGATATTTTGCGAGGCATTGGGGAAGTGACGGTGCTGGAGGAGCGCTCTCTCACAGGGACCTGGGATGTCACAGGTCTGCAGAGGTGGAAGTGGAAAACTGCTGATACTTTAGCAAAAAGTACGGTTCCGTAGAAGTATAGACATATTTTATAAAAGTTTTTAAAAATGTATTCCCTGTAAAACATTGAAGTGTCCTTTTTGTTTTAGAGAATGAATCCTGTCCGAGCAGTGGAGATGAAGACTTTACCGTGACCGTCTCACCCAAAGAGATCAGGACCTTCTTTGTCCACTTCAGCTCCAGGAACCTTTAGGCTGGCTCTTCTGAGGATCCATGATCCTGCTTTCAAAGATGAAATCCTCAGTTACTCTGATTTAATTTACTTCGTGCACAAAATGCTGAATTTGTAAGGAGGCGATTTGCTGATCCTGGACTTGTGGATCACATTAAGTAAAGTGTTCCGCCCCCCCCCCCCCCCCCCCCATTTGTTTTAATGCCTTTTTCGTTTTTTCCAAAGAATAAAAGCCATGTCTTTACTAATGAGGTAAATACGCCAATCGACATGAATAAAAGATTTGTGGATATTAAAAAAAATGTGGATGTCATTTTTGCAAACTGTCACAAAAAAATCATAGCTTCAACCGAAACTATGAAATGTGTGTGTCATATTTCTATTTAATTATTAATCATTTAAAAAAATCCTTTTTATATTTAAAATTTTTTGTTTTTGTGAAGCGCCTCGTGATTTTCATCTTGAGAGGCGCTATAGACAAGAACATTTTCTTTCTTTCCTTTTTTCTATATATTTGAGAAGCTCTGATGTCCGGGAGAGGCTGGGAGTAGAGCCGCTGCTCTGACGGCGTTGCACATTATTTTTCAGGTATATTTATTCAATTCAAGTTTATAAAGCGCCAAATCACGACAAGAGTCGTCTCAAGGCACGTCACATAATAAACATTCCAACACAGGTCAGTTCATTAAGCCAGTCAGAAAAAATGTTTCCTATATAAGGAACCCAGCAAATAGCATCAAGTCACTGACTATAGAGTCTTTACAGCAACCTCATACTAAGCAAGCATATAGCGACAGTGGAGAGGAAAACTCCCTTTTAACAGGAAGAAACCTCCAGAGGATCCTGGCTCAGTATAAGCAGCCATCCACCACGACTCACTGGGGATGGAGAAGACAGAGCAGACACACACACACACACACACACACCAAGCAATTTGTCTATGGTTACATTGTGATTTCTTAATAAATATTCTATTTGGCGAGAGATTATTATTATTATTAACATTATGTTACGCTTCTGAACATTTGGTGCTCTTGTGGGAGCAGATATCCAGAGATGTTCAGCTCATGAACCACAGTTTGTGTGAACGACAGTCTGCCTGGAAGCCGTACAAAAACTGGAACTCCTCCGATGATTCACATTTTTTAGTTGGGTAAACTGGCAGCAGTGAGATGGCAAAACCAACAGTCAGCCCCACCCACCTCTCCAAACTGAAAATAAAGCTCAAAATCTAATTCTGGTGGTTCTCTGGGAGTATGGGGTACCAGGCCCTCTGATACAGGCTGTTAGGTCCCTGTATGACCGGTGTCAGAGCTTGGTCACACACATTGTGTGTGTGTGTGTGTGTGTGTGTGTGTGTGTGTGTGTGTGTGTGTGTGTGTGTGTGTGTGTGTGTGTGTGTGTGTGTGTAGGATGGCTGCTTATACTGAGCCAGGATTCTCTGGAGATTTCTTCCTGTTAAAAGGGAGTTTTCCTCTCCACTGTCGCTTTATGCTTGCTTGGTATGAGGATTGCTGTATAGTCACTGACACTAGTCAGTGACTTGATGCAATTTGCTGGGTTCCTTATATAGGAAACTATTTTCAGATTGGCTTAATGAACTGACCTGAATTGGAATGTTTATTTTGTGAAGTGCCTTGAGACGACTCTTGTCGTGATTTGGCGCTATATAAATAAACTTGAATTGAATTGAATTGGCGGCCCATGGATCAGGTCTCTGCATTTTGCAGATGATGTGGTCCTGCTGGCTTCATCAGAACGTGATCTCCAGCTTTCGCTGGAGCAGTTCGCAGATGGGTTTGAAGCTGCTGGGATGAGAATCAGCTCCTCTAAATCCAAGACCATGTGTCAGGTGGCATGGTTCCTTTTCAAAATTTCTCCAAAAATGTATTTATTTATTTATTTAAGTTAAGTTAATTCATTCATTTATTTATAGCAATTTATCAGAGAGATGCAGTTCATAATCCTGACCACTAGAGGTCTGTACGCCCCACGTATTTCTACCACCGATCTCTGTCGGTGAGACAACACCCAAACGAGCGCTACATGTCGGTTTGTAGCCAGCTATAATTAGCTCTAAATGGACTGTGTGTGGTTAAACAGTAAGAAATTCCGTTTTTTGTGTTGATGAAGAGCGGTTTGATCATGATTTAAAGGACGTCTCTTGCGATTTTTCCTTAAAATGAGCACTGTAAGTAGTCTACGATTTGCGCAGGGTCTTTCATGCAATGCCTTCTCTTCCCAGTCAGCCGTTTCGTTTATCTTATTTGTGACATTAGACACACACTTGCACGATTCAGGGTGTCTTTTTGTGTGTGGAAGGAGATGACTGAAGCCGTGCGGAGGTAGCGTTTGTTGCTAGGATGCAAGATAAGGGAGGATGCTGATGTGTTGCATCACCTGCAGAGCTGCAGGGTCATGTTTTTTTTTCATTTGTGTGTGTGTGTGTGTGTGTGTGTGTGTGTGACTAGAAAAAGGAGAGGGAGCAGAAGAGGAAGCTGCAGCACTTTCTGAGTGACTTGGCTTTACTTGGATCATTACAGGTTTGATCAGAACTCATACAGCAACAATTCAGTGTGCATATGTGGATTTTTTTCTTGTCCACACAGGGTAGAATATCAGCGTGGTGGCAAAAATATAGCCTTAAACAAGCTTAAAATTAATGTTTTTTTAGAAATTCATATCTACCATGATGTAAGTGTTATTTACCCCACAGGGTTTTAAGTACTTCCAACCATGGCTAAGGGGGAAGGAGGAGTTGCTGCTGACTGTCGTCAACGAGGATCTGGTGAGTTTCTTATCATGAATGTGTACAAAAACACGCAGATTCATTACGTTTCTTATTCTCCTTTTACGGGTCCTGCCCTTGCGTGTGCTGCCTTGCAGGGTTGGCGTTCTCCAGGTTTTCTGGTATCCAGAGCATCCTTGAACAGCTCCAGCAGCAGCTGTAGCAGTAGCGGCGTCTCTCCCAGCAGCAGCTCTCCCAGCCTGGACAGTGGCAGCAGCTCCCCCCTACCCGGGGAGCCTCGGGGCACAATGGACTCCCGGTCTCGCACGCATACCACGACACAGCCGCAGACACCTAGGTAACAGATGGGATTTTGTGTGCTTAAACATTAACATGTATGTGTTTTGTTTTAAACAGTGGTGTTAAAGGAAGCATTAGGCTTTTTCTGCTTTTAAAGCAGCCTTTTTCCATGTTGGACTCAGTTTATCCATCCATCCATTTTCTGAACCCGCTTGTCCACGTAGGGCCGCAGGGGGCTTAGTTTAACCTATAATTTCCAGCTATTGCCTAGAACCGGTGCTAACCACGTCGCGAACGTGGGATTAGCCATCCAGTTACCATTAAACCAATACATTCTCACACCCAAGGCATCAAAATATCCCGCGTGTAACCAAGCCTCAATATATGACGATTCGGGACGCCCCAGCGCATCAGTAGACGACGATCAGGGACACGCTGGGACACGTGGCTCTGCTGGCGTCACTGTTTGACGCGCGCGGTCACACGGACATTATTCGACTATTTAACGTTCCCCTCACCCCAATCCTAACCTTAAGGTCCATAAACTGTGACCTTAAGGTTAGGATTGGGGTGAGGGGAAGTTAAGTAGTTCACAAGTAGTTCTAATGTCCGTCTCACCACCAGCGTTGGATACCGATGCTCTGGGACGCTGCGTCACCAGTTTGTCCCTGATCATCTTATCCTGACGCGCTGGGGCATCCCGAATGGTCATATATTGAGGCTTGGTCACACGCCTCATATTTTGACGCCTTGGGTGTGAGAATGTGTTGATTAAACTTGCACTTCCCCATGATGCAAGCGCCCACTAGCTTAACCAGCTAATGTGCTCATCTAAAAATAGCCCCCTTTCACAACCAACTGAATGTGTACGGTTCTGCTTACGCCAACATCGTACACAAAAAATGCTGAACACTAACTAGAAAATCACAAAAATTTTATAGAAATAAAAGAATCTTGTTTATTGGGTCTTTGGTAATTTAAGACCTTTGGAAACTGTTTTAAAGAGCAAGTCACCCCCTACCAGAGTCTAACTCAACTCCCACTTCTTGTTTGAAAAATGCAACAAATACTGTTGCCTAGCAGACCGAGAGGGTGGAGCTGCTAACAAATACACACACACACAGGCTCACGACAGCATTGTGACATCATAATGTACCAGTTTACATCATAGCATACCTCGTCTGCTGTGAGGTTTGTTCTTTTGTGTAAAGTCTTGTCCTGTCTGATTCTGTTAACTACTATGTCTATGGTTTTTTGGGTTGGTGTTTTTGTGAACAGGGATGTGACGTCATGTGAGATGAGTATGTCGTTGTCTTCTGTTGTAATCTCCTTTAGTTCTTTTGCCAGTTCTATGCTGTTTTTACAGCGTTGATCCGTGTTACCTAATAACGGGCTGATGATTTTGCTGATATCTCTTGCCATGTTGTATGTTGGTGTACCTATGTTGTCAACTACTGTAAATCTGCTCCAATAACCAGGGTTGCACCCAGAAAATGTTGGTAAGGGTGGCCAGACGTGGACAAGCAAAACTGTTGGGTGGCACACTGATTACTTTTTTTAATTCTTTATTTGGTTTTACATTTATTTCTTGCAAAAATAAGAGGGATTTATGGTTTGAGTGAACATTAATATGATTTATTAACACTGGTCTTCCTTGGGCCTTGGGAGGGGGTCAGCAATTTTCTAGGTGTGGCCATGGCCACCCCTTGGGTGCGCCACTGCTGATAACTTGCATCCCAGTGATTCTTTATGGTTTCCCCAGGGAGCCCAGCAGTGAGGAACATCTTCTCCCAGCTTCTCCCAGTGAAAGAGAGATGGCAGTACCAGTAAGAACGCTAAAAGAACCAGTTTAGAAAACGTCAACATCAATCCCCTTTGAGGTGATCTCCCAGACTCGTTCTTGTACCCTCTACAGGAGGTGAACTGCACCCTGTTTTTATTGGCCGGCTACGTCAAGTACGGACGCCCTTACGCCTGGATCCGCTCCAACCACGAGCGCCTGGTCAACATCGGCGGCACCGACTCGATGGTCAGGGACACGCCCATGAAATTAAAGTCCATCACTGACTGGCAGACACGAAGTACGGAAAACAATGAGTAGAGTTCCAGCTGAGAGAAAGTTACCATTTCAGTGTGGAGAATTAATAATTACGTGAGTTTCCATGAGGCGGATCGGACGGCATGTGCTTTAATAGGAAAACTGAATGTTTCTGCAGGTATCCGTGTGTGGGATGTTCTGAGTGAGCTGGTGTCCCTGTGCACTGTTCCTTCTCCCACCAACCCCTTCGCCTTGGACATGCGTTACATCAAAAACCTTCCCCTGCCAGATCGCTTCCTGGTCACTGGAGCTCTTCTCAACTTCCTGGAGACGTATGTGGTGTACGGGAACCGGGATGAGCTGCACTATGACAAAGGTGGCCCATCTCTTTTTTAGTATTTACTGTAAATTATAAGTTTAAATGACTTAATTGATTACTTTTCCATTTTCATTTCAGTGGTGGAGGAGGTGAAACCTCTGAGGCGTCTGCATGTCCAGTCTCTGTTGGAGTTACAGCGACTCCGAGGACGTTCCACAGCAACAGGCACTTTGAGATTAATTCTCCACGAGGGGACAGTTTCTGTAGGAAGCTTGTGAAAAATAAACACCTGATCTGGTGTAGATAGCTCTTTGAGCAACCTCAGTTTGGAGAAATAGATTAGTTCTCACTGGATTGATGGGCTAATGGCTAGTCTAAGCAGAGCCAAAATCAAAGTGGCATGGTACACTGAATAAACCTTCTGCTGGCATCATGTTAAGTCCAGGGGCGACCCCAGAAAATTTTGATAAGGGTGGCCAGATGGGTCCAAAGACAACATTGGGGTGGAACACCAAATAGGTCCTTGTGGTAACTCTGGGAGAGTTTAGCCTGTGGCGATGCATCACGTTGCTCTTTTTATTTAAAACAATAAAAATAAAAAATGTATCCAAACCCTTAAGTGAAATTTGAGAAACAAACATTTCTGACGAATACATTTAGGTTATTTGAAATTTTATTTTTTTTGTTTAATTCGCCTGCTGCTGTCTTCACAAAAAACTATTGAGCTCTAAACTTTTTTCCAATGATGAGCAAGCAGAAACACATGTTGGAAGTATTAGAGCTAGCTGCTACCACCATTATTTATTCTTGCAAACATCCAAAGCAAATTTCGGCAGTGTCCAAATCCAGGGACCGTATCCTTCCGAGTGCACATTTCAAGGCTGATAACTTCACAGCAAAGCAACGAGGCTGTCCAGATTTGAAGATGCTCGAAATGCGTTCTTGTTTTCCCCAAATCTGGACGACTATTTGTTTGCATATTTGGCTAAACCATCCAAATTTACTGCTGCTCACTTCCTGTTTTAGCAGTGGGAGGATCCAACCCATGTGGACCGGTTAGGACAAGTACTCACAAGAATGCTAGCCCATGATTAGGTCAAAGCTCTAGTGATGTGTCGGTTGCGAACGAACCGGCTCTAAGAGCCGACTCTTTGAAGTGAACGTGAAGTGAGAAAATGAGCGCCAGCAGTCGGAAAGTGGATATTTTTTTAAAGTGTTCAGTTAATAAATCCATAGAAAATTTTGATATATTGCATTTTTTTACATCAGTAAATCATTTTACATATAGTTTCATTATTTTGGTTATAAATGTACTCTACGCAACAAAAAAATCTAAGGAGCCACTTGGGAGCCTCTTTTTGGTGAGCTGAGCCAAAAGAACAGACTCTGTAAAAAGAGCCGGAATTCCCATCACTACAAAGCTCCCAAAAATAAGTTTTAAAGATGGCTGAAATCAAGTTTGATCAGAGTAGTCGTTAGCTTTTAAATCGCAGAACAAATCTCCATTTCTTCAAACTGAGGCTGTTCAAAGACCCATCAAAAGTTCTTTCCGCAGAATTCCACTTCCAAATATCTCAACTATTCAAATGTGATTTAATTTACTTTAAATGTGTAAAATAAGTTCTTTATAATTTAAGAAAACTATACTGAACTTGAGTTTAAGTCTAAACTCAGCTGGTTGTGGTTGCAGCAGCCAGACTGAGCTGTAGCTTTAGTCTGAAGACGCTCACGTGAAGTCTGCTGAAATGTGAGGGCAACACTACGGAGTCGTGCGATAGCTCCAAACTCCCAGGACCTGACGGGCCGCCCCCTCGCCCTTCAACCACCCCACAAGACCGTTCACCAGGCCACATATAAACTTTTAAAGTTGAACTTGGAAACAGAACCACACATCAGGGTTCACAGTGCAGAAGTTAAATATTTGTCTTGCTCAAAATAACCAGTTTGCACTCATTGTATAAAAGTTTTAATATCTCGTAAAATACACATTTAGATAAATATGTACAGACAAAAACAGAACACTGATAAAAATGCATCCTACAGCAGGCATATAACCCCTTCTCTAGAAAAAAGTTGGGCGTTTTGCGAGATACGGATTGTAAAAAAACAATTTACTAAATAACGTGGTGCATCTCAATAAAAAAACTTTCAGTTAAAAAAAAAAGGCAAAGTTTGTAGCTTAAATATTGTCAGAAAACAAAAAGGAGACGTTTGCAGCCTCGGAGTGTGGCACTAATCCTCCAACACTTGTAAACCCTGCAGAAATCCCCATCATGAGGGCTCGTTATGCAACGCGCCACATATTGGCCAACAGTCAGGTTAAAAAATGACTAATTTTGGAGTTTCAGGACAAAGCTGCTCAAACTGGAATGTTGTGGCTGGACACAAAAGAGATTTCAAGGCTTTTGGGAAGATTCCTGGTCTCAGATTTCCCCGGCGTGGAATGCAGGTGCACATCCGTGCATTCCTCACAGAGATGCCACATGGGAGCACAATGTGCCCACTGTTCACAGGAGCCACGGTAGCTTGTGCACGTCAATGCAAATAACTCATGACTGTTGTTGTTTGTGCAGGAGGGGATTTAATAAAAGGTGGTAGAGGTCGCTTCTGATGTGCCAGCTTTCGATAAAAGCCAGGGTTAATCTGACTCGTCACAGGTAAAAAAAAAAAACACAAAACACAAGGTTTTCTCCGCTTTCGGCGACATTTTGGTCGCCTGAAACAAACCCAAAGAGACGAGGACCACGTCGAGTCCGTCATCCAACTCATTCATTCGATGCCACATAGGACGGTGCATCCGCCGGCATCACTCACTCGCCAATTATGACATCGTCTCACACAGTTACAACACGCCCAGATATGGACGTGGCAGTTTGAACCCTTCCACCCTTCCTGACATCTTATGATCAGTCCCTCCCTTCCTTCCTTCCCTCTTGAAGCTGCCAGCAGGCCAACGTGGAGCCTTGTTTTGGTGCAGAAGTTCAGCTTCAGCTGTCAGAGGCTGATCCTCTTCTGGTGATGGCTCTCATGGGGCTTCGAGATGCAGAACCTTGTCTCTTCCAGCGACCTGAGGAGATAAGGTGGGTCAGTGACGAAGGAATCTTAAAATCTTGCAAAAAGGAGCAAACGCAAGTAAAAAAAAAAAGCCTCACCTTTACCGAAGCCAGCAGGCAGCGTGGAGCTCTTGGAAGGAGAGCTGGACGGCTCCTCTCCACGTTTCACGTCTCCGGGCGTCAACGTGGCCGAGCCATCCTGCCAGTCGCTCAGCGCTCGCTGGAAGGAGTCAGCCAGACAGGCGGTCATGTCCCGCGCCCGCTCTGCACGGCTGCACCAGAACACCCGACACTGCAGCTGCTGTCCCTGATGCTTGCAGATGTACAGGAACACGTTGGGTCTGTTGGCGTCCGCAGCGCAGTACGCTATGTCCTGCAGGTACGTTTTGGTCAGCTGCCGCCCCGTGCTCAGCTCCTTGACCTCCACGTACCTCGGCCGCACCACCAGCGCGTGGTCTTTGCTCAGCTTCTTCCGGTTAGCATTCCCCTCTAGCATTTGCGCGATGGCGTCCTGAGCCTGCGCTCGATCAAGGGAGAAGATCTTCACAGTGCCCAGGTAGTGAACTTTGAACAGGGGGTCGCCGTGGGACAGCAACTCCGTCCGGTCGCGGCGGAAGTGGCGTCGGAAGGCGGCAGGAGAGTTCTTGAGGGTCTGCATAAGGTGGAAACTTCCAAGAGCCATGGCGTCCTTGGAGCTGGGCTTGGAAGACTTTTCAGCTGAAGGGCTGACAAACGGAGCGTGGCCGTTTTTATCTGGAACGAGGCATATAAAATTTTTTATTCAAACCTCAGTACGATGCAGTTTTTGCATCACCGTTCGTTTGAGGAAAATGCAAGTCAGCATAAAGTGGTAAATGGTCACCAAACAGGACTGGTTACACCTGTGACGCACGCAGAGTGAAATATTCAGATGCAAGCCAGAGAGTTGCATGTTCATTTACAGGCTGGTTTGACTTGCAGATGGGACTGGAGACGAGCCAAAATAATCTGTTCAAACAAAAGCTGAATAACCGAACAAGATCATAGCGTACTTTTATCACAGCTGATGAACAAGAGCGTCCCAATCCAGCATCACATGTCCACGCCCGGCCTCCCATTGTCCTGCTTGTATTTTTTCCTCCTCTCTCATTTCTCAGCTATTCTTTTAAACATCCCAGTTTCCCTCCTTGGATCTGCTTCTCACAGAGAACCAACAACACGTCTGAGGCCATTGTTGGAGAAAACCCCAGTGCAGGAAACAGCTTTGCATCCCCCTCCCTTAAAAGCCATTTCTCCCACAAACAATGGCATGCTTTTGAGTCTGTGTCATGTCACAAAAACAGAGATGCAAGCTGACCCTCAGTCTACAATGACCCCTCGGTTTACACATATACTGTTGCAGGAGTGGGTCGAAAACATGGAAAAGTACTTGCGCCACCAGTTTTGCATCAGAACCATAACACTGGTGTCACATTGCACACAGGTGCAAATCAATAATTCAACAGATAGAATTCAAATGTGCAGTTTGAACGTCACTGGGATTGCAGGAAGTGATTATAATTTGAGTAAAGTGCAACTTGTTTACTAGTGCATGCAAAATCCTTTCAAAAGGGATCACTTTGGAATTTATTCTGATACATCTGTGGAACACTTGGGGAATTTTGGAGACAAAAGTGCATTTTTTATTTTGAAACTTGCAAAAATTAAATTAAAAAATTGTTTGGTCCAAGTTATGCTGCTGCACCGAGGCAAATTATTTAGGTTCCTATTCACTTTTACGTAAATTTACGTATAATATTCAGTTTAATTATCAAAGCCGAATAAACTGCCAGTGTCTAAATTTGTAAAAAAAAAAATAAAAAAATAAAAATAATAATAATGATAAAACTATTTTCCTACAACATTTAATTCTAAAAATCATAACGGAACTAAAAATTACATTTTTTTATAACGTAATTAGGCATGACCCCGAAAAGCTGCGTTCAACTCACTCCTGTAAAACACACCATTTCCATTAAAACACCAACATTCCTAACAGGAAACATTTCTAACAAGTCACATTTGGATTTATCTGATAGCTAAAGTTGTCCACGTGCACGGCTTCCGTTCCTAATCTTACCTGGCCACAGTTTCATGCAAACGACGTCCCGGAGTCCGCTTCAGGTGAACCGTTGCGATATTTGAAAAGCGCATTCAGGGGAAAGTCGAAATCTGCCTCCACTTTCTGTCCTTCAAAAGAAATTTTTATTTAACAAACTCGGCCGAATTTGTCTTCCACTCGTCTCCTGCCCGCGTGTGTAAGCAGAGCTCCTCAGACGCACACCAGACGTAGATATGACGGAGAGAAGTTAATGAACGGACTGACTCACGGAGGTCTGTGCTCTCAGTGTGGGTGGCTCGGAAAGTGACTGAATCACAACAGCGCGTGCGACCAGCGCTTTTAAAAAGCGCAGGCGCGAGCCCGACACACGTGAACGAGCACTGGAGGGGAGTCTGGGCTGGCTCTACAGTACATGGGAATAATTAACCTGCCTTTGTTTCACTTACTGGAACCTATTTATGGGTCATTTATCACACAGACATTTGTTTTTATTAAATTTAACTTGGTGCATGTCCCTTAATAATTAGACATTCGTTTTTTTAATCAAATCAACAAAATGTATAGTTTTACATCCAAAATCTATAAACAATAGAGACGTTTTTACATAAGAAGTAACAAAACATATTTTTATGTCAACTCAGCTATTTTTATCTATATCAATATCCAAGAATTATTACTTCCTGAAAGGCATCTGTTTGAAGAAATAACCGTTTATACCCTACAGGAATAACTGACCAAGTGTATTGTGGTTGGCATTTTAAAATAGTTACAAATTTCCCAGCAGCTCGTGCATAATTTCATGTAGTCCTGCTCAGTTTCATGTTACAAACTTATTTAGGGCGAAATGTTTAGAAATTCTGCTGAACCAGAATTGCTCCAATTACAGAATTAAATGGAAATAACTATTATGTGAAGCGAGCGTAAAGGTTTGCTCTTAGCTGTGCTCAGACTATTATACTTTTACATTTTTTGCACCTAAAACTGGTTGTGTGTGTGTGTGTGTGTGCGTGCGTGCGTGTGTGTGTGTGTGTGTGTGTGTGTGTGTGTGTGTGTGTGTGTGTGACAGACAGAGAGAGAGAGTGTGTGTGTAAAATCAATTTTAGCTTTGTTTTATTCATCCATCCATTTTCATCCGCTTAGCCGGTGTCGGGTCGCGGGGGCAGTAGCCTAAGGCGAGAGGCCCAGACTTCCCTCTCCCCAGCCACTTGGGCCAGCTCCTCTGGAGGAATCCCAAGGCGTTCCCTGTCCAGGTGAGAGACATAGTCCCTCCACCGTGTCCTGGGTCTACCTTTAGGTCTCCTCCCGGTTGGACGTGCCCGGAAAACCTCACCAGGGAGGCATCCAGGAGGTATCCTGACCAGATGCCCGAGCCACCTCAACTGGCTCCTCTCGATGTGGAGGAGCAGCGGGTATACTCCGAGCCCCTCCCGGATGACCGAGCTTCTCACCCTATCTCTAAGGGAGAGCCCAGCCACTCTTCGGAGAAAACTTATTTCGGCCGCTTGTATCTGCGATCTTGTTCTTTCGGTCACTACCCAAAGCTCGTGACCATAGGTGAGGGTAGGAACGTAGATCGACCGGTAAATCGAGAGCTTCACCTTCTGACTCAGCTCTCTCTTCACCACGACAGACCGGTACAACGCCCGCATCACTGCAGATGCAGCTCCAATCCGCCTATCGACCTCACGCTCCAGCTTTCCCTCACTCGTGAACAAGACCCCGAGATACGTAAACTCCTCCACTTGGGGCAGGACCTCATCCCTGACCCGGAGAAGGCTTTCTACCCTTTTCCAATTTTATTTAACTTATATTTTACCACCTCTTTACGCGAGCTGTCTTTAGTGAGCGCAAAGTCAGTTTTCTTACCTGTGCAATAACAATTAATTATCTTGAATCTTGAATTTTAATAAACTCATCAGCTCTATAGGACGTAAATGTTGTTTCTTCATAATGAAGTCATCAAGGAAGCAGTCAACACTGGATAAGATGATGACTTTTCATAAGTTCTTTATGCGGAGACTAATCCGCTTTGCCTTACGCCCTGAATCACATGTTACACTTCAACTTAATGATGTGTGTGTTGATCACGCCAGTCAGGCACTTTTAGATTCATCCGCTTGTAAAAGTTTGTGATTAGCAATCAGACATCCACATGTCGCATAAATGACGTCGCCACAGATTTTCCTCTCCCCTAGCGTAGCTGCTACTTACCACATGACCAGATTTATCGTGGTTCTTTCCTCCTGAAATCTTTGAAGTCTGCTGAACTTACAGCCATTTTCCTCTGTTTTTCTCCGTGTCAGGTTCGATGACGTCACTTTGGTGAAGCGCATTTGTCCAGGACGTATTTTCACACAAAACCTAAACTAACATTTTGCCCCCCTTTCGAAAATGAGCATTTTCTAGGCATCAAAATGCATATTTAAAATTCACAGACGTCATATGTGAAATCCATGGCACGTAACAAGCAGAATTAGAAAATAGCCTTTTTAGCCCCATTGACTTGCATTCATTGTTGTCATTCTTTCGGGGACTTGTGGTCCGGAAGTAGATTTGTTTAATTTAGTGATTAATCGCTCCTGTAGATATTAATGAAAGCTGAGGAGACATTTCAGCTGTTAGATTAAGGTGTTAAAAAGATGAACGCACAGCGAGGAGATAAGTTTTGCTTTTTATTTTACAAACGGACACTAGGGGGTGCTAAGAGCAAACCAAAACTGCCTCATTCTATAACTCGAGCGGTTTAGCTCTTATAAGTTGCTTTTGTCTGTAAATCCAGCAAAATTACACAATTTAAACAAAACAATGGACTGAATAGGTCAAGTGTGATCTGAATATTTAAGATTTTAACTCACTGGCAGGTTAAAACGAGCAGTGCATCGTTTTATTTGTAATGTCAGAAACAAGAGAACTTCAAGTTGGACAAGAAAACCAAAAGGATTACAGGGCCATTTTGTTGTCAAAGTGTCGTTATTGATTTGCTCAGAAGGACATGGGAAGTGTTTGGGGAAGGTTTTGAGTTCAACCCCAGTACACTTGTTGGTTACGCTAATCTAAACCCTAATACAGACATCTGTTCATCATCTCCCACTTGGGTTTGATTTATTTCCTTCTCTTTAGCCGATTTATCACATAGACAACTAGAAACTTTACAAGAGGTTTAAAAACTGCAGTACGTTTACGATGCCATGTGAGACGGCATAACACCAAAACACCAACGAGGTTTCGTGTTTCTTTAGTTAAGCGTCTGTGCACCATCATTTTGGGCGACATCTGAAACCCACTACCTTCCATTACGTTGCGTCACAGCTCGTTTCTAACGGCGATTGGCGGCCTCACCGGCTGAGATCTGCTTCAAGTGTTTATCCTGGGGACATTATGAACAGTGGCACAGGAAAACCTAAATTGGGTCCATGTGTGTTTTGTGCCTGTGTGCATGGCTGGGGTGTGCCTGATGGAAGGAAACAGTAGAGCCCCTGTTTCTCCTGGGTTCGGCCCAACAACAGTTAAGTTCTGGACGTCACACTCGCCTCAGTGCTTCGCATGGCACAGTGGAACTATTCTCGGGGCAACGCTGACATAATGGACCATCTCAGACGGGATCCGCCCTCTGAAACGCTCAGAAAGAACAGACTCAGCATCTAAGCCTTTGACTTAAGTCGGGGCTGCAGCTGCAGGTACAGAGCATGCTGTGGCACGCGGCCATGTTGGTACTGACTGTTGGTTTCATCAAGCAACCTATTCATTACATGCAAACAGGCCTTTGGTATTCCTTTGCGCACGGGATGAGTGAAGATCCTAATGGTCAAAGCAGTGGTAGTTGACTACGTTGTCACTTGTATTACATTGAATTATGTTTTTATTGCATGTTAGCAACATAACAAGTTAGCTGCTAGTTAATGCATGGAGTGGCAGATTGGTAAATCTAACAAATTATGAACAGCTTTTATGACGGAACTACTAAAATGTTAAGAAATGCACATGTTTCTTGTGAAAATCGCAGGACATCTATGCCATGTCCAGTGGCGTGTCTAGATCTTTTAAAATGGGGTGGCCCAGGTGAGGCACAACTTTGTGCATGGGTGGCACCAATGGTTATGCTTTTTTTGTTTTACCCCCAAGCCTTTTGTGGACAATGTAAAGCCTATTTAAAAGTAAATTAGTGTGGTGGCACCTGGGGTGGGCAATCAGATTCCAAGGGTGGCATGTGCTACCCCAGGCCACTCCCTGGACACGCCCCTGGCCATGTCAAGGCAAGGCAGCTTTATTTATATAGCACATTTCATACACAGAGGCAATTCAGTGAGTCACAGAAAATTTTAACATATTAAAAAATTATCCATCCATTCATTTTCATCTGCTTCTCCGGAGTCGGGTCGCGGGGGCAGTAGCTTAAGGCGAGAGGCCCAGACTTCCCTCTCCCCAGCCACTTGGGCCAGCTCCTCAGAGGAAATCTCAAGGCGTTCCCTGGCCAGGTGAGAGACATAGTCCCTCCACCGTGTTCTGGGTCTACCTTTAGGTCTCCTCCTGATTGGACGTGCCCGGAAAACCTCACCAGGGAGGCGTCCAGGAGGCATCCTGACCAGATGCCCAAACCACCTCAACTGGCTCCTTTCGATCCGGAGGAGCAGCGGGTCTACTCCGAGCCCCTCCCGATGACCGAGCTTCTCACCCTATCTCTAAGGGAGAGCCCAGCCACTCTTCGGAGAAAACTCATTTTGGCCGCTTGTGTCCGCAATCTCGTTCTTTCGGTCACTACCCAAAGCTCATGACCATAGGTGAGGGTAGGAACGTAGATCGACCGGTAAATCGAGAGCTTCGGCTTCTGACTCAGCTCTCTCTTCACCACGACAGACCGGTACAACGCCCGCATCACTGCAGATGCAGCACCAATCCGCGTATCGATCTCACGCTCCAGTTTTCCCTCACTCGTGGACAAGACCCCGAGATACTTAAACTCCTCCACTTGGGGCAGAACCTCATCCCTGACCCGGAGAAGGCATTTTCCGAATCAAAAATGAGCAAAACAAAAAGTCTCTGGGTTGTTGCAGATGTTTAGAACCCTTCTCATGAGCTAAACAGTGAGCAAAATGCAAGAAAACCATAAGAAGGGTTGGTGGCCAAATTGAAATCAAGCCGTCACATAGCTGAGGCACGCGGGCCCAGCACACACATATCCAGATCTCCAATAAAACGATTCAAACAAGGATATTTTTCTATGGTTTGGCCTGTTGTTCACACGAAAGTGAAGATATATGGCAGAAAAAGTGATTCTTTTAAAAACCTCTGACCAGCGTGGAGTTTTTTTTTAATTCTCCA